TCGGATTTTCATTCCGAGCGAAAATCTACTTTCTACCTCAACAGCTTCTCATGATCTACGAAGCACATATATGGCCAGATATGGAATACTGTCCTCACGTATGGGGTTCAGCACTTAAACATACGCTGATGCGGTGGGTGATCCCACACTCACTAACTCTTTATCATCATTGGAACACCGTAGGAAGCTTTCTCTTCTTTTTAGATACTTCCAGGCAAAATTTTCCTCAGATATCTCTGCAATCATTCCATCAGAAAATACATAACATATAGACATAAGCTCGAATTTCCATCATCCTCCCATGAATACATAATCACATTCTATTCAGGTTCACCTCGTTGATTTTCATACGTTTATGTAATCATCCAATGACATTGTACATCTGTTTACACCCCTATGAGCAAATTCGTATGGTCCTTCAACAAGGCAATAATGGGGATAGTTAACAAGCCTGGTTAATTGGGATTATCTGTTATCACTTACCCTGCTATCCAAAATCTAATTTCTCTGGATATTGATGCAATAATGCATGAGCTACATGTGCTACATAAGGTTGGAGAATGGAGATCACTTCTTGTTCATATTCGTTGTCTGCATTTGGCTGATCAACTCATTGTTAACCAATGAACTCAATATAAACACCGATTTGTGAGGTTAGGATCGATGAGAAATGGCTTTTATATACACATTACTTCAATTTATAGGGCTTTTTCCTCGTCTTGATCATAACCCAATCAGAATTTGTGTGTGTAGACAGGGCTCGATAACCCTCCGATTGCTGATTTCGGCAATTTTAATAATTGAGTGTGTCTAGAGAACTCGCAACTCGGCAAAATCAATTTTTAATTAGAAATCATGCCTGGATAATTGAAAGTAAACTCCGTTTCTCATCTAACTTGGTATCGAATTACGAATTGTTGATTATTGATCTAGACGGGAGAATATATTGAATATTCTGGGAAAGTTTCGAAGTTGTGAGATTTGGAGTTCTGCTACATGAAGCTCCCACTGTTTTATTCTCAATTTTCAGAGGCTCATATTCAATGCCCTGGCACTAGATACAGTATAATATTTATATCATGAGTTTTTTGGAAATGAGAACTTCTACTCTCAACAAACTATAACCTCTTGAGGCTGGAAAAACTAACCTAACACAAATGGTTACCTCATGATTGTTAACTCAAATAATGTAAGAGACTTCAGTAAGAAGGTCTACCCATTTTTAACTTCTAATGCATTTTATAGTGTTGAGGAGTTCCTCAAATTAAAAAAAAAAGTGTATCTGTACCTAATAAGTATCGTCCTATATGTAATAATATTCCATTTAGATACAATTATTATTCTATAGCATGGCATAGTCCGTTGTTTTTCCATTTTGTTTTGGTTTTTTGTGAACTGACTACTCTGATAGGACAGTGCATTGTACTATACAGGGTGTTTCAAGAAAGCCTAACCCCCTTGCTAGGGTAGGTAGAACATTGCAAAATAAGTTGGGTTTGCTCTGTAAAAAATGTCGTAACGCCATCCGTCATAATACTCACTCTAATACATAGCATTATACCAGCAACAGTTACCACTTCATCATTTTCCAATCGAAATATTCCGAAAACGGAACATAGTATCGATTTTCACCAGGAGTACCATTTCGGTGTGAAAATGAATGGTGTTCAAGGTCATATCATACTCATTTGGTATCTAACCTCAAAAAAGTTATGATCAAAACTACTCGGTACGAACCGTGTAACTAGCGCCCTCTATGAGAGTCAGATATAAAAACGAATTCATGCGATTTGTCAGATTCCAAGAAACATCCATACAAAATTTCATTACATTTTTGCCAGTAGTTTCGGAATAATCGTGGAAAATGTGTAAAAAAATAATTTTTTCAACACCTTGTATCATGAAAACGGATGCCGTTACGACATTTTCTCACTGAGCAAACCCAACTTATTTTGCAATGTTCTACCTACCCTAGCAAGGGGGTTAGGTTTTTTCGAAACACCCTGTATATCTTTGTTATATGTGTAATATATATAATCCTCATGAATAGAAGTCTTCCTTTATTTCATTCGATCTAAGTATTCCAAAGCTAATTCAATCTTTGTTATGAATATTGTTATTATTGGGAAACATTGTGAAAACATCAAATTTTGATTGGGGTTTCAATCGAAACTTTCTTGAGTTGATCAAGTCATCCCCATATGTACAGTCACTCTGAGGGATTAATGGGATTATTTACCTTGAATGATTTCTCAAATGACAATGTGTCAATGAAGTATAAAGATGAAGTTTCACATTCGATTGAAAACAAGAAATGTGTGAAAATGTTTTCAAGATTTCTTATAGATTCTTCTCTTCCTTGGATTACCTGGACTCAAATAACGCTTCCTCCGAATTGAATACCCACTCACATATTTGTTTTCTGTTTTGTCTGGTGTTGCTTTTAAGGTATTAGAAAATCTATCGAAGACGAAACCAAGTTGTTTGATATCCGAAGCGTTCGCTGTTCGACTTATTTTAAAGACCAAATCACATTTCCAACTTCTACCTTTACCGAACGAGCATGAAATAATCGAATTACACAACCAGCCATTAGATCCCTTATATTAGTACTCTGAAAATTAGTTCGAAGAGTTCCAACGATCCAACGTCAAAAGTTCATTTACTTCCATCCAACAGCTGTTCAACTAACAATATCCCAGAGTGAGATATGACTTCAAAAGCTTGTCTTTCCCGAAGAGCATTGAACAAGCGTTTATTGTTTAAAAATGAAACTAACGATTTGTAACACATTGAAACGTTATTTTTGTATACAGGGTCCTGCATCTCACCTTCCGTAACAGCATAGCCAATTGATTTTCTTCATTTCGAACCGGTCTATCTCTAATTGGTTTTGTATATTTTACACTTCCGGTTCGTACAAATCTATCCAATAAGTTCTGCAGGCTCCTTCTGTCTTGATGACGTCGTTCCGGATAATGTTGTGCATAAACTCGACTTGCCAAAATAGTAATGTTCTTAACAAGTGCGGAATTTTATTCTTTCCCGCACGTGACTGCCGTTGACACGAACGACGAGAGGCGGAGTTCGGGCAAGCATGAGTTAGGAACAATATTTTTTCTACAAGTGTAGGAAATTAATTGATTTGTTCACACTCTTTTGGGGCATAAAAAAATTCAAGAATCCGGTGAGTATCTTGCAATTCGCATTGGTTTCGAACGCTTGCATACGAAGGTGATCGTGTGTCGGAACGCATTTGAGACTGCTATTTCAGTGGCGTGCGGTACTGCAATACTTGCACTTTTGATTCGTTATTATGATCACAATTTCAGATAATTTTTTGTTTTTTACCCAAATTACAATGACTATATATAGCTCGAAGGAGGAGCTTTTCAGGCCACACCATTGTATGAACAACAATAGGTACTCAAGATATTAACATCGAATTTTGAATCACCTCTTGTCGCCATCTCCCCAAAAGTCTCTTCATTCCAACAAAAAAAAATGATACAGTTCAAATTTTCCTATTCTTCAGTAACTAAATTCTTCGATTTTTTTTTGTTATTTCGTTTTTTTTTGTTCCTATCTCAATGTTTGTACCTGTTAATTGATATATGTGATTCGGGACCGAAACGTCCAAAGATATGTAAAAATTCGATATTTTTTCAATATATCTATATTTTTTCCTTCAAACATTTTTTCAAACAAATTGTCACTGACAAGCTACTGGATTTTTCTTTTAGACTCCCTGATAGAAAAATTTGTTAAACGCAGTGACATTTTGGGGCAAATCATCTGATTTGTCCCTCTACAAATATATTGAAATAATACGAATACTTTTATTTTATAGAAACGAGGAGAGAAAATCCCAAAGAACCAAGTAAAATGAATGTACCACCTCCTCGATTAACCTACAGACAGTATATGTGATAATATTTTAATATTTTTCGATAGTTTTTCTTCATTTTGGTATTGGTTCCAAATGGTGCACACATTTATTGAAACCTTCGTAAGTTACGTTTTGCCTTTATTTTTCTCAAATATTGGATATTGAACCTAGACCCCCCCCAGGAATGAATCCTAATCCTGACAGTATTCAGTATTGAACCATATTCTTCCATTATTTTCATCATGTGTTTTTTCATTTCAGTTCTACTACACAATGAATGCAGCCCACACTTCTTTTCTTCTGCATGAGGAACTCAAGTTCTTCAGAAACAGTTCGGAATCTGAGTCTTCTGAAATTGACCATGATACTACCAGCGAAAGTGAGCATAAATGAGTCATAATGTTATTCAACGATAAATAGTGAAAAACTCTTTCATGAAAGTGTTGAAGATTATTCTTTTTGTATCACTTCACGGCAAACAAATAGAAAAGTAAAATTTATTAAAAGTGAGAGGACAAACTGAAACGTTTGTTCTTCTTTATTGCATCTTCTCATGGACTGGACTATCAATTCTGATTCTCTCTGTATATATATCTGGTAGACAAGAAGCACATAGTGGCGTAGATATCGGGAATATATGATACCATCAGTTATATGAATTGGTGACTTTTTTCATTTCTTTTTCTATTCTTTTTCTATTCATCAGGTCAAATTGCTACAAGAAAGGCATATTTCTCAAAAATGTTGATAGATCCAACCGTTTTCAATACATTGTTCTTGCCACTGTATCAACTTATGTACTCAAGAACTCAAGTAATTACTTAATATATTTCATAGATACACTCTTTGAGATGTAGAATAATCCCAGAGAACAGAATTGTTTAGTAATTTCTGTTTTTTTTTCAGTATCTATGGCTTTCACCTTAGTGCTTCTTACTTTTTCTTCCTTCGGTATTCTGACGACATGCCTTTTGCTTTATGGATTATACAGGGTAGGTAAACCTAATTCACTCTCACAAGTTTGCATCGAACTCCTCATAAACAGTTTTTTTGTTCGTAGGATTGTAAGGTGATGTTGTTACCTTGGATATGCAACATCGTTGTTTTCATCATGGCTGACTTTTCCTATGTGGTGTATAGCTTGGTTGTTCATGCAGTAAGTTGAAATATTAGATTACTTGGAATAGCGTGTCAGTAATTTTCCGTTGCAACACTAATATAATGGCCACGTTTATACCGAAGGATATTTGGTATTCTTACCAAGGTGATCTAACTAAATTCAGACCAAATGCTCTAGTTTACGCATGTTTACACCATGTATCTCCAGTTGACTAACGTTACCAACTTTGGTTTGGTTTTTTTTTGAGGTTAGGTTGTGGAACTCCACTCGAATTGGTAAACTAACAAGTAATGCCTGTTAGTAGGATAGGAAATGAGCTGGAATTGAAATTGAAATATTGTTATGAGAACTCATGAAATGATTGCCACTTGCACTGAAGTCAAGTCAATGCTATACAGAAGTAGACCAAAATGTTTACACCGTCTTGGTCATCTTACTATTTTAGTCTGGTAAATTTCGGTACCAAACCAAGCTGGTAACTTGACCAAGTATATAGTTTATACCACACTGACCAAGAGTATTTAGTCAAAATAAAGACATTAGTCAGCTCACCAAGATACGGTATACACGTGGCCAGTGATGCAAGAATGAAAATAAAAAATTATTCAATTCTGTCAGAAACAATCAATTCACTTTGATGCAGCGAATATTGTGGGTTTCATTCACCAAGAATCACAAACAAAAAATCTTCTTATAAAAGCTTACAAAGCGGAAAATAGCCTGATTTCTTACAATCAGAATGTGGAAATAAGTTTTCCGGAGTTGAGCAAGTTTCAGTTAGCAGTCAGAAAGTTTCACGATTCTTTTGGAAAGAACTTGATCAAAGAGAACAGTGGAAAAATGAGAACTTTCTTCTTCGCTGCAGGGGTCCTGAACTTTGGATTTTACCTATACCTATATAATAAACCCTGCTGAACAAAGTAGATTTATTTCAGAGAAAACTGTGGACGAAAACTGTAAACCTGATTATACGTATCAAAATCCTCACACAATATACAGGGTCTTTCTTAAAGACATGCTAATATTCAAGGGGATGATTCTTCAACTCATTCCAAGAAAAAATACTCCTCACTGACACTGACGTATGTCCTAAAAGTCTTAGTTTTTGAGATACAGGGTGATAAAGTTTCGAATAAAAATCAGTTTTTTAATAATAACTGGGATAATATTGTAGACATCTTTGTGAAATTTGGTACATATCTTCTATGCATCAAAGTTCATTTTTTGATGTACACAAATTTTCCTTTTTTTCACCAGTGGTGTCGTTACGGGGATATGATTGATTATATTATACTTCAAAATGAGCAACGAAGGAATATTTCCAAATTTAATAAAATGATACAAAAAGTCATTCAATTCTGTATAAAAGAGATCCTCCTGTTGATACCCGATAGGACGCTCCGTTTTCGAGAAAAAACCAAAAAACGAGATCAAATTTTAGATTTTGATGTAAATGCTAAGCTTGAGTACTCCATTCACATGTAACATTTTGAAATTTCTGCACCGTTTCAGTCACATATCAGAATAAATTTTGCCATCAGGAAAGGCTATACAGGGTGGACTAAAAATAATCTATGTAAATGTTCAACTTTGATACCCTGTATCTCAAAAGTTAGGAATTTTACGACATATGTTCATATGAAGTTTTATTCTTGAAATGGGTCCAATTTAAGAATCGCTCCCCAACATTTTCCGAGTTAAGGTAAAAGTGAGCTGTGGTAAAAGCATGAAAATCAACAACGTTTGAATAGACCTAACAGATGAGCACCTAATTCCGTAATTCAGCGTGTTTGCCCATCTGTGTCCAATTTCACTCCAACAAATTCTCATACAATATTTACCTCTATATACCCTGTGTGCTAAATTGAATTTGTTCGACGATGAACAACGGCCTCAGGGGATCTTATACCGAGTAAAACATTTACGTTCAAACATATCTGAAGGAACGGAAGAATACAGGATGTCCCCAAATCTCATGCACAGGGTCTCCTTATAGTTGGACCTCTACCTACAGCTTCAACTACACGAGGTGAGAAAAAACTTCAAATATGAAAGTTGTAGGTATGTAGGGTTTCACCAAAAGCAAAGCGCTAATAGAAAAAAGAGACAAGTTGTTTTCAAATGCAACACCCTGCTCTGGCTCTTTCTCTTCTGTTCACAAATACAGGGTGTCCCATGAGTCATGAATCAAAAGAAGTGGGGTGGTAGGAGGAGTTATCTCCAATGGAACTAACCGTATATTATGTGGAAATCCAATTGTACAAAAGTTATTCAATTTTTTCATCTCTCAATCTCATTGGTTTACTGAACAATCAATCATAATGAAACTGTGTCATATTTGTGATTTTTTTTTCACAAATTTTATCTGCATGGATGCAATTTCCCCAAGTAATAACATTTATGACCAGTGTTTCTTCGTATCAATCAAGAAAAATGCTGTTTTCCTTGGGTCTTGTTGAATGAAATAATCTAGTTGATTTTCTAATGCCGCTGGCATATTCAAAAACTACCCCACAAAGATGACCAACAAACAGAAAAAGTTCTTCATTTAATACAGATTTAGAAATGGTATATGGTTCGTACGCGGTTATTCAAAACAGCCTTTTGTTATTGATTTTTGTCAAATGGGTCGCGGTCTTGAAAAAAATTGAATAACCTTTGAACCATCAACCACATATACGCTTAGTTCCATTGGAAATAACCCCCACCCCTATACCGACCCACTTATTTTGATCCATGACTTATCGTACACCCTACCCTGTATATAGTTTGCTATAATGTTCCCTCAGGCCGTTTTCGACGAAAATCTCGTTGCCCTACTGAAATTTTTGCATTTTTCTCATAATACAATCGTACTATTCCGTATTTTTCCTCTACGAACTAACCCATTAGAGGAACCTACAGAGATGTCAAAAAGCGCCTTTTTTGTTTCCATGGTTGTGTCTACGACCATCTAAAAATTATTGGCAATTTTTAATCAATATTGAAGAAGCTCAATAATTGAAACAAGGTTCAAGGAAACATTAACAAACTATATTAAATGATCCATGAACAGGAAAATATGATATTTCACTAGAGCTCTTTTTTTCCATTTCGCGATTTGCATTTGTTTGTTTGAGGCAGAAGATAGAGCAGATAAAACCCTACAACTTTCCTATTAGAAGCTGTAGGTGAGGGTTGGAATATAAGGAGGCAATTCCTTGGTTCAATGTCTATGTGTCCTGATACAATAAACCTACTGATTTCTCATTTTCAGTTGCAGTGGAATCCACCAGCAGCCATTTTAATAACAATAGACTTTTTTCTCAACTCTCTTCATGTGAGTAAACCTGGAATCTTATGAACCGTCACAATTTTTCATTCTGATTGAATATTAACCAGCCTGTACACCTATATACTACCTGAAATCACAACCCCAAATATGTCACAAAGTAATGAGGATTAAACTCACCTGAGTAATAGTTTTCTCAAATTCAATTTTGCATACAACAATTATTGTTGTTCCGCTAACATTATAGCTTCGAATGAATAATTTGAAAATATTTCATGTTGATAGGAACTTTTCACCTGGTATGCAGGCAGCTTAGAGCTTATTTCGAACAGAAAAAAATATTTTCCAGCTCTCAGATGTATGTACGCTGGTCATTAATAATAAATATCAAGCTAATGTTTAGCGAAACAATGGTCGTGTGCAAAAGTGGATTTGTTAAAATTACTAGTCAGGTGGGTTATCAAGTAAAAGCCGATTCAAATCAATAATGTCAAAAGCGTTATCCTCATATTTTTTTAATCAACCTTTTGACGAAATCAAAATCCATGTCATTTTCAAGTTCTGTACATGAACAAAATATAATCATTATCGAAAATTGGAACAATCCAACGTTTTCGATCAGATTTTCCTGATTATATATATATCCTTGATCCTCGACTACAATGAAAGGATTAGGGCTGTTCGAACAGAATTCCTAGGATTACCATAACAAAACGTAAACGACCAATGTATTCCATAGCCAGAACCCATAAACTGACAGATAATAGAGAGGAGATAAAATAATCGGATTCGGAATTATGGGATATATAGTCCGGACATCTCTAGCAATCTCGTTTATGACTAGATGTATAAAAATATAAACAGGGTGATTCACCTAACTGATTCAGGGCCTACTCTATCTCACCTAGAGTAGGCCCTGACTGCGGCGATCGTGTTTCCGTTTATATAATCGGTGGCGATCACGTGGCTGCCAAATGATCAACGTTCACTGTTCAGAGTGTTCAGTTAGCTGTAGACTGTAGAGTCGCTGAGTTAGGTAGTTGGTGGCGGTGGTAAATAAACCAGATTTGCTCTATACAGCAAATATTTGTGACTCTACCTGTATCAACGGCAACAGCGGAAAGGAGCTTTTCAACCATAAAGCGCTTGAAATCCCACTTAAGTTCAACCATTGGTGAAGAGCGTTTGAATGGTCGTACTTTACTTAATATTCACAAAGAAGTTGATTTGAATATTGAAAATGTAATAAATAGGTTCTCCACAAATAAAGCCAGACGAATGAGCCTCGAAGACTGGTCAGGTTGAAATAATTGATCTAAAAAAATTAATAAGTATGCTATTTTCCATGTTTGTTCATTGCTTAGCCAAATTAAAAAAAAAATGATTGCTCTGGTGTTGTTTCGTTTAATTATATCGGTCAATGTAGGTATCACGACAAATTTTGGAAACATTTTTATTTTTGCCTCGGTTCCCCCTAAAGCGAGATTCTTAACACGCCACTGTCAGAGGTTGATAGAGAATTAAATTTGACATCAACTTGAAAGTTTTTTATCATATATTGGTAGATACGACACATTTTCCTTTTTTTTTTTTCAATACGCTGTCACTTCAGTTGAATTAGTCTTGTATTCGAAATCGAACAACCTGTATATCAATTGACTATGTAAAAATAAAGAGCTATTGTATTTCAATCTTCTTTTGAAAATTGTTATTCTTTCGAAACATTTTGACAAATACTGTTTTTCTGAAATACCTTCATTATAGTCTACAGTGTGACCCACTTCTAATGGAAATACCCCTGTTTCTTACGTAATCGTTGGGTAGGGACTGAAAATTTCCAAGGAAAAATATGAATAGTTAGTGAATTGGGCGTCCTCATTCTGAATCTGGAGTGATTTTCGACCTATTTTGACTCCTAATATCATTTTCCAGAAATTGGGGTGATGGTTCCATGGCTGTTTGGCGAGCAGTGTATATAGCTGAAGATGGCCCCAATTGGTCATTTGGTATATCTCTCGCTCCAGCAAATTTCAGGATCCCTACCCAACGATTCCGTAAGATACAGAGGTGTTTTCATCTGTATGTAAAGTCAGTTGAAATAGATCATCAAATGAATGTCGGGCAGCGCTGCCACTCTCTTTGAACATTCAAAGGGACCGACAGCCCGCGGTGATGTATTGTTCCAACTGACTTTGAAAAATCCTTACTAACAATTATTATGTTGTGATGCAAAGTTCATTTTTTGAGAAAATGGTTTCTGATCTGACTGTCACGTTTGTGTATCTCTATTTCAGGTATATAGTTTACTTTGCGTCGTATCTCAATATCAAGAACTGAAGGCTGGTAGAGGAAGAGCTCTAGATGACCAATTATACAGGGTAATATCGCAATTTTATGTAATTTGGTAGGTGAATAATCATTTAATTTTTGTTCAAGGTACCAAATGTGCATTATAGTTCGCAACCAACAGCAACAAGTTTCATGAGTTCAAGAAAACCAGTGACTTATTATGAAACCAAACCTACTCCTCCGCATAGTCCAACAGGTGGAGGTAAGTTTGGGTTTAAATAGTGCAAGTAAATAACCTCGCTTTGCATCATGCTACATTTTTCTATTTTGCGTCTATAATGAAGTCATTATGACACCCAAATGCGTATCGAAATAGTCTATTAGGACACGCTGAATTTCTTGTTTCAAAGTTGGTAATGGTAACGTCAAAGTCAAACTGTCAGATACACTAGCGTCTAGAGACAGAACGCGACAAATAACTATAGCATTACAGGATTTACAGGTATCTCGAGCATTTATTACCTATCAAATTTGCTGGTATACCTACCTACCTAGTTGAATTTGACAAGACGATGGGATGTCAGATTATTACGCCATCCTACTGTCATTATGACTCTCATTACTCGATTCATCACAATAATATTATGTCTGTTATTGAATGTTGAAACTCGAGTTAGCAATGTATGAATGATTCCATAGTTGTAGATAAAAGATATTTTTCTACAAGCGTGCGTGATTCACCCTATTCCCGCACGCAATTCAGTTTGGAAAGTAGTGCGGGAAAAACAAAGATATGATGAGATCGCAAAATATAAGTGGTTGGTGATGGAATATAGAAGTTTGAGTTTGTTTGTTGCAGTATTAAGTATGTATGTTCAGAATCATCTATCAAATTGCACTATATTTATTGTGGAAATTAAGAAATATTGAAAAATAAAAATTGATTATTATAAAAATCCCCCTAAAGATTTGGATTGATCTGATGGGAAACGATTATTGTTGTCATGCCAATAAAACCTCAAATAAGTTTGAAATTGTCGAAGTGACTGACACAGCGTTACTGTCATTTTTGATTCAGTGGAATTGCCACAATGTGATCAAAAACTTCTAGCTATAGGGATTCGATACAGATGCGTTATTGCCAACGAAGTCTCAAGAAAGGTATGAGAAGCCATACACGCGTTTTATTGAATGGTGCAACAATGAAGAAATAGTAATATTCTTTTTACCAATTTTGACTGAGATTAACCAAGATTCTCAGTGCAGCTCAATAGCTCAGTTGTATAACATGTTTCATTTATCTTAGTCTGATGTGAGTTGTCTTCAGAACTCATTGAGACTATTTCTTCCCCCCTCACCCCAACTGAGCTTGCTATTCATCTGGTGTTGTAGTGAGAAAAAGGTGAGACTGGATTGATTCTAGTCATTCTGTGGTTCTGTGCTGAAAATTGTGAGGTTATATTTTCATTTTGACATGCTTTCAGCTTTGAAGTTTCAGTCCACAGGTCAAATCCTTTGAATATTCACTACAATAGTATTTCTATGTACCTCATTAATTTCCTCAGCCATTTTACATTTTGGTTGAATTATGTTGGGTTATGTTTTCTTTCCTTGTCCTTCCTGACAGATAAAAACGAGTTCTTTTTATTCAATCGACAACTCAGCTCCGTCTCACCTCCTTTTAACTCAATTGATCTCTGTAGTGAGAATGTAACAAGGTAAAAAGAATATTGCTATCGAAAATACCGAATGAAGAATACGTATTTTTGGCTCATTTCCTAGAAGTGTTTGAAACTTAGAGACTAAACACCTTATGGGCCTGCTGGCTTCCGCAATGAACCAACATAATATGCGTCAAACTGTAAGTTCACAATAGCTATTACTAATAATTATTAGATAGAGAATATATTTCTCTTGTTAGTTGTCCCTATTTGCACGAATATTCAATCGAACAAATCGATCAATTTCCTACGCTTGTAGAAAAGATATTCCTAACTCATGCGGAAAGTGTCTTTCACGCACTCGAGTGCTTGCACGAACTCCGCTTCGCGTCGTTCGTGTCAACGGCAGTCGCGTGCGGTAAAGAATCACTTTCCCCACTTGTTAGGAAAATAACTATATTGTACCACGGGAACTCATACTCTTCGGCTGAAGCCTTATAATATAATCTTGGTGCCTGGATAATAATGGTGTATGAATATCAATTCAATTGTTTTCAGCCCCTTCTCCATCGACCATCCCCGACCTGCTGTCCCCCAATGTCAGTAGCGTGCGCAGAGGCTCCAGGAAATCCGTCAAATTTGGGGATGCCACCCAACCTCAGTCCCACCACAACGGGTCCCAGCTGCTGGACCCCTGGGCCGCGGAGACCAAGAGTCCCATGCTGGTCCCCAGGGGGCTCGAGTCGGTGCCCCTCATCGATTCGGGGGCGGTTCCTGTGACCCACAGCGGGGCGTAGGGGAGGGGGGAAGTTGGGAAAGTAGAGAAAATTAGGGGAAAGAAGGGAGGGGATTTCGTGGAACTACAGGGTGATTCACCATAAATGTCCCTCCTCTATAGAAAAATCATCTAAAATTATTTTTCAGAAATTTTTTTCCTGTTGCATCAGAAAATACAGGGTGCTCGGAACACACGATCTACAGAGTACAGTGTGTCCAGTTTTCGATGCTTTTGCGTGATATCTCAGTTATCTTTCGAGATAGAACCTTGCGGTTTTCGCGGTCCTGTACCACTTTTCTGTGAAACTCAAGATGGCCTAATCAGATTTTGCATAACTGTTTGCGTTTATGAGATACAGGGCGATTTTGAAAATTTATACTTCTTGGACCCCCTCTATATCTACGAAGTTTCTCAGCGAAAATGTCAAATTGGAATCTTTTCCCATACAGCATTTTGCGCAGAATTCAGTGGCGCATTCAATTTTTTTTTTCTGGGTATGGTTTCGGAGATACGACTCAAACTTATGATTTTAAATGGAACACCATGTATTTTATAAGCTCATTAAATTCCTTATTTTTTCCCAACAAAATGAAATATGATGAATAGGTATAAAATTTTGAAGAATGCTCCAAAATCACTAGAACGTTGAATTTTAATAGTGGGCTAGGATTTTTCTTTTAAAAAAGTTCCAATTGAACGAATATTTCATTTGATTCTTCCATGAAAAGGACAAAAACAATCGCAACACTAGTTAATTAAGATAAGACAAAATTTAGGTACCTGATAGAAACAAATGAATGGTAATAAAAAGTTCATATTCTAGAATAAGCACCTGATTGAATATTCACTAAGAATTTCGAAATTAATCAGTAACTTATTCATTGAATTGTTCAAATTGATGTCCACTTTCCCTCACACGCTTTCTCAATACGTCTTAATGCATTCAAAATTATTAAAGGATGTCTTTGTAATTCCTGGAAAACTGCCTCTGTTGTTGCACGAAGGTCTTCAGGATATTTGTGACTCTTACTGTATGAAGACGTATTGAAAAACTGTGTCAATTGTGTGTTATGGGAAATAGACATCAATTTGAACAATTCAGTGAATAAGTTATTGAATAATTCCGAAATTCAATTGTATTTGTGAATATTTAATCTGGTGCTTATTCTACATTATGAACTTTTTATTTGTTGCTTGTTTTTGTCCTATTTATGGAAAAATGAGAATGAATATTCCTTCGATTGGAACTTTTTTATAAGAAAAATCCATAGCCCACTATTAAAATTCAATGTTTCAGTGATTTCAGAGCATTTTTGAAAATTTCATATACATACATAAAAATTCATTTTGAAGAGAAAAAATGAGGAATTTTATGAGCTTATAAAATACAGGGTTTTCCATTTAAAAAATCATAAGTTTGAGTCGTATCTCCAAAACCATACCCCGAAAAAAAATGTTGAGTGCACCACTGGATTCTGCGTAAACTTTCATATGGGATGAGATCCAAATTTGACATTTTTGCTGAGAAACTTCGTAGATATAGGGGGGGTCCAAAAAGTATAAATTTTCAAAATCGCCCTGTATCTCATAAACGGAAACAGTTATGCAAAATCTGACTAGGCCATCTTGAGTTTCACAAAAAAGTGGCACACGACCGCGAAACCCGCAAGGTTCTATCTCGAAAGATAACTGAGATATCACACAAAAGCATCGAAAACTGGACACACTGTACTGCTTGATTTTTTCAAATACAACACCCTGTATCTCATTGTATTTTTAGATTCTCCCTGAAGAGTTGATTTCATCAATGCATCACACTTGGGGTCTAGCGGGAACGATTACAGAGATATAGGGTGTTCAAAATCGAGATTTTTCAACTTCAGGATTTTTTTGTGTCGAAATTATTCATTATTGGTCAAAACGGCTTACATGTCCCTATCTCAACTTTTGATTTACTATCTACTGACATTCAATTGGAACATATACAGTGTGGTTCAAGATTCAGAATTCTGATCACCCTGTATCCGTTCCAATTATTAAATGTCAGTAGATAGTAAATCAAAAATTGAGATACAAACATTAGAGCCGTTTTGACCGACTATGAATAGTTTCGTCACAGAAAAATCCTAAAGTTGAAAAATCTCGTTTTTGAACAACCATTTAAAAAAATCAAATAGTACCCTGTAGATCGTTTGTTCCGAGCCCCTTGTATTTTTTTTATCGCTTGATGCGCACGAAAGGGAATCCCTATAATGTAATATAATCGTGGGGAAAATACTGTATCGAAAATCATTTTAGATGTTATTTAAAATGTTGCAATCGGTTGAAAAATCACTGAGCTAGAGGGGGGGGGGGGGACATTTATGGCTAATCACCCTGTACAGGGAATTAGGGAAAGTGGGGGGAAGTGAGGGTAAAAAAAAGATTTTATGTGGAATTGGAATATTGAAAATCAATATAAAAGGTGAAAATTGGATTTTTAAATACTCAAAATGAATAGTCATTTTTCGATTTTATTTTGATTTCGGAAAAAATATGTTTGGACTTTCTGTTTCACCACAACGAGTCCCAGCTGTGGTATGGGGGGGGTTGGTAGGCTTGGAATATCGAAAATTCAAACGAAAAGGTGGGAATCTGATTTTTAGCTGCCATTTAAACAAATCAATGATTTTTTACCACTATAGCTTGGTACTCTGGTTTCTATTATTATGATTTTAGTCAACGAAATGATTGGTTCTTGAAATATTCAATCAAATGAAGAAATTTGTATTCAGTATAAATATCATATTATTAAATGGCATAGCGCTTTCGACTATCAAGCCATCATCAATGCTATATATACTCGTCAAGTGAGTAGAATACGACCAATGGCTTTTCAAAAAGTTTTCCAAAAATTACATAATATTATAGTTATGTACGTATCAAGGACGTAAAATTGGCTTGTATGGACTGTAGCGTCTATATAGGTCCATAAAACCAAGTCACGCTCGGAATACATAAAACATTTTATGCACTAGCGGGCCGTAAAATGCACTTTACCGCCCGGTTTTGCGGGCGTTAAGTCGCACTTTACCGCCCGCGGGCTCATTATGGCCCACGGGCCGTAAAGTGCACTTTACCGCCCGCTGTTCTCAGTTACCTTATATCCACATATCAATTCATGAAAAACCTATGATCATTTTCCTAGATTCTAATATATATCCAGCGGTATATCATAAACTTCTTCTTTATCCGATTCCATATCTATCGCTATATTATTATTATCACTAATTTTCACTTTTCAGTCAAAGAATGACAATTCAGCTCATTTATTGGATGTCTTGATATAGACAACAACCATCAGCTTGATTGACAACGTCAAAATTAGTTAGGTATATATACTTGGGTATGAATATTGTAAAATTCTGAAGAATGAATCTCCTCTAGAGATCAAAGAGTTTTACTATCACGATAATTGCAATATTCGTACGATAATTTTCATATGTAAATCATCCATGAACATTACGCTTCTCTTGATTACTGAATTTATACGCAACAAATTAAATTCGGGGGAATATTAGTTTATCGAAATCTATATAGTCATTACTTTTGAGTCAGAAAATAAAAAACCACTAGTGCATAAAATTTTGTATGTATCACGTGCGTGAAATGCGTTTATGGCCTTATCAGCGTGTAATGGCCCTCGGCTAGCGCCATCGGGCCATTATTAACGCCGCAGGCCATAAACGCCTACTCTTCGCCCTTGGTACATAAATAACTATTATGGACGACCGGTATATTCGATTTTTCATTGCCTCTTCACCACTCCATAACGATAGAAATACATCATGGCTGCAGTGAAGAATTTTGAATTAGGAGTAGACCATTATACACAGAGGTGGATTAACCAGGAAGCAAGAGAAGCGAGCGCTTCGGGCGCCAAGATTTGAGGGGCGCAAAATCATAGTTTATGAAATAGTAAACATCTCAAAAATGGTAGCATTAAATGGTAGGGGTAAAGAGCCACTTTACGCCCGCAAAACCGGGCTGTAAAGTGCTACTTCAAGCCCGCTCGTGCATAAACATTTTGTCAGGTCCGAAGGTGACCATATTGATGTCTGACAAATACTTCCTTCATTTACATTTTTCAAAAACAGATTGGGATACTTATTTGTTTAATGTATGTCAGTTCTAACTACAGTTTGTACCATATTATGTTGTCGATTAAACTCTGATCTTTTCATAAATACTGAACGAATATGGCACTGATAACGGCTAATTAGCCGAAAGCAAATTTCTTCATCTGATTGATCAGTTAAGTACATGCAGCTTATACAAATCTTCACCTTAAAATATTGACTCGAAAGCCTATCGTATTTCACTCTTTAAAATGATTCCTCATCAACTTCAGACGAATTATTTTCAGTAGTATCTGTAACATTTTTATGGGACTCTGGTGGATGTTTTTGAAAACGATTTATGAAAAACAATTTTCCCATTCCAACTCTCGAATATAGGGGTACACATGATATACAGAATGTTCTAAGTCGATATCAAAACTGTATAGTACAAGACCAGTAATTTTTTGATCGATGAATCATATATGTCCATTATTATTCAGAAGTATACATCAAACACCTTGTATATAATGCCTGATAGTGTAATAGCTCTTATAATCGACAAGTTACTTTTACAAATCCCAATGATGAATAAATGTTCACTAGTTTTATACTCCAGAGTGTATATTAGTACATGTATATAAAAAAAATAGTTGATATGTCAATTATTACCACCATATACTATGACAGGTTTTTACTGAAAAAAAATGGCAACTCAGTTTTCAATGTTATTCAAGTTAGTATTTTCAATTATTAATGTTTCAATGGTAGAAAAAAATGTGATCATCATGTCGAAATCTCGATAACCAAGTTGCCATTTACAAGAGCCCTAAAGTAAAAACATGTTGAAGTATACTATAACGATTGTATATAATTATATTTAATTAATTCTCAACTGTTCCCTTATAAAAATGGGAAAGTTTATTATAATACTTTTCTACTAATAATTTGTTTTATTAGTATCTATAGAAAAATATCCCATTCATTCCCTGTTCTTGGACTAGAAACTCTCAACACCAGTACGAATCACTGTCTGTTCTTCCTATTTTTCTTCCATTTTCAAGCATCCACATCGTCGTATTCGTCATCATCATAGCTCAAGTCATTTTCATCGTATGGTATAGATCCGATAGATCCATCTCTCAGAGGGCATTGGGTACACCTATACGACCAAAAGAAATTCAAAAATTATCATGAAAAAAGATCAGACAGTATCTTTTGGTTAAAATCATTTCCGGAAGTGGAGTAGATGAAGTCCAGCCAGCTATTCACTAAGGATGAATGGAACAGAGGCAAAATCTTGTGGTGCGACGAAATTACTGTTGCGTAGTTTAGATAAATCTATTTTATCTGAGTTTTTATCAATATAATCGATGAATAACGATATATCGCTAAATTTGCCCACCCCTACTATGAACTGACCTGCTCTCCTTGATACCATAGTCGATGCAGTTGGATCCAACGCATTGACAGCACTCGCCATGGAAGAGTCTCAGGCTTGAAGAACCTATGGACATGCAAGACTGTCTGCATTTTCTGTAGCCCATGCATTGCGACCAAAAAAGAACAGAACAGTTTACTGCCATTATCTCATATTCAGATGGGTTTTCCACTAGATCGGTATCTGGAAAAAACAAGTCAAAATGTTTGCATGTTCTCATTCCCATTATACTTTTTATATTCCTCTTTATTTATATTGATCATAAAGACTGCTCAAACAATACAAAATATATGAATCTATAACCTAAATCACAGCTGGGGAAGACATTGAGAGCACTAATTAGTCAGGGCCTTCTGAGCAAGAAAAGTAATTTTTTAAGAAGAGAAGAGCATTGAAATTTTTTGTTTATCCTTCAGCTCATAACTTTTGAGTACCTATTTCAATGGCTCACTCCTACCGTTTCTAACACAATGGGCTGTAGATATACAATAACTACTGCCGTTGTATTGGCGGCCATTTCAGAAATGTGATTTTTGGATTATGTTTCAATAAAGGCAGCGCCATCTTGGAAATTTCAATTCCTCAACGATAGGCAATATGGCATCCGTCATCAGAGATCAACTGGTGACCTGCTCGCTTATACGTCTCACATATATGGCAGCAATCTATTGAAAGATATGTTGAAACCTCAGCCGTGGCACTTGATATCTCCAAAGCATTCGATCGAGTCTGGCACCACAGGCTTCTCGCCATGCTTCCATCTTATGGCTTGCCTCCCCAGCTATATTCTCTGCTAGCTAGTTTTCTCTCAAACAGGTCTCTCCATGTTGTGGTCGACGGAGTTTTATCTGACTCTCTTACCATAAATGCATATTAGCGATTTGTTGGAAGCAACTTCGTGTCCAGTACACAGCTTCGCGGATGATAGAACCCTCCATACCGCCTTCTCTTCCAGGGCTCCAATACCAGCCAGGCAAATCAGAAACGAACGAGGGAGAAATTTTGACAACATGAATATGGACTTGGCAACAATTCTCGAATGGGAATCCAATAACTTGGTAGATTTCAATGCAAACAAAACACAAGCATGCCTTTTCTTTAGAAAAGATGATCTCACTGTGCCCAACATGAGCTGGACAGGAGTGAACATATCTTTGAAGACATCCATTTCAATGCTTGATATTACTATCAGCAATAACCTTTTTTTGGAAAATCAACTGAGAGATCAACTGCTAAAAGTGCATCCCAAAAACTTGGTTTTCTGTTTCGAGCCAGGAGCTATTTCACTTCCAGTCAGCTGCTTATGATCTATAAGGCACAGATCCGACCTGTCCTGGGATACTGTTTCCATATTTGGAGTGAAGCACCCAAACATACCCTGAAACTGTTGGAATCTGTCCATATAAGGGCAATTCGTCTCGTGGGTGATGCCTCGCTCACAAACTCACTCACTTCTCTGGAACACCGTAGGAAAGTTGGCGATCTGGCTCTATTTTATAGATATTTTCATGGACGATATACTCTTCTGAAATATCAACAATTGTACCTCCCTTGGCAGTCCCCGCGAGTTGACGCTTCGCACCCCTTCGTGGTCACTTTGGAGACCTGCAGAACATCTCTTTCCAAAGACTCGTTCATCCAACGAACAGCGAGGCTCTGGAACACATTGCCATGGGAGATGTTCCCCGAGGCATATAACCTCCAGAAATTCAAGAAGAACACCAATTCCTAGCCTATTGCCCTTGGTTCTCACGTTGTTCTCCGAACATTACAGGATATCCCTTTTCGTAGGAACCAGAACATAAAAAAAAATCAGAGATTACCAACTGTATTCCACTTCAACATTTAGCTTCGGCAACAGGCATTCTCTGATTCATAGCAGTTGAAATAGGAGGTAAAAGTTTCTAGAATACACATTTTTGCAAATACAGACCTGACTAAATAGTGGCTCTTAAACTGTATACTTGCTTCTGCACTTGGCAAGTCTTTGTTTCTGTCTGTTCACCTACGTTTTTTCGTTACGTTGATATGTAGAAGAAACATTTCGGAAGTCCATCTTCCTGCTGGATCTGGTTCTTCGATCATGGTTTGGAATAGACCTGATACAGGGTCCGCTAGATCCTCTACATAGGACGATTTGTCTAGACGTTCTAAGTCTCCATCGGTCTTGGGACACATTTCTGGAAAATTGAAAATACTTAGCGGTTTCCCCATTTTTCTTCTTGTTGTTTCATCAAGTTAATCATGCAATCATCAAAGCAGTTACGATCATATTCCTAATACGTATGTAGCAAAACAGACTGGAGACTTGATCATAAGACTTCTCAGGGACGTAATAAAAGTAACCTAGTCTATATCGTTACCATAAATGATTGTTCAATAATAGTTTCCAACGATTAGCAGAGCGCATTCTAGAGTCGAACAAGTTTCTGAAACAACGATATTCGATTGTTTACCTGAAGGCAGGAATATCGTTTATTAATATAATAACAAACAGGATAATACCAGGAAGCTTCCAGTGATGAGAATAATAAATTTGTGAGAATCTTGCGAGCTTGACAATCACTCATAGAAATAGCCATCCGGTCCACTTGACAACTAATACATGAAACATCTCTCGGAAATATCAAACTATACAGCATGTTGCGTTTGTTATGGTGCACCTACTGTTTGTAAGTGTTCCTTCCATAAATGCAGAATTACAGATATTGTCTTTGGATTTCACCCATTTTGAGATATACAGGGTGTTGGTGAAGAACTCCGACAAACTTCAGGAGGTGATTCCTTTTGATATTTTAGGAAATGAAGTTGATATAAACATTTGTCCTAACTTGCTCTGTTTTCGAGTATTGATTGTTTTCATTTATGAGCTTTCATGGTGCCACAATTCAGTATGCTTGGAGAATTAAAATTCGGAGTCAAATCGAATTTATATTGTTTCCTCGAATACTGAGCAAGATTCTTGAAGAACTCAGAGGATGAGAAAGTTGATATTTCAATTGTTCAATCAAATAAAAATATGAAAGTCATAAAAACCAGTGGCGTACAATAATATTAACCGTAAATATCGATAAATTGACCCACTGTGACGACATTGAGAATATTATTTCGAATTTAATCACATCAAAAGAAGCTACATGTTACATTCAACAGAACCACCAAGTTTCATCGAAATTGAGGTAAGTAGAAATTTGAGTAATTATTTAAAAAAATATTTTTCATGGAAATATTAATACCCTGTATCTCTCTCTCATTCACTTACACCCTGTATATTAACCGTCATCAGTTCAAGGTAATAGCCAAATGGACATTCATCTGCTCAGACTCGGACCGAAACGGCAACATGGAAAGCAATATCTAGAGCAAATAGAAACTACAAGACTATAGGTTTATTCGGTTCATAATGAATTAACTATCGATGAATTTATATTAACAGCAGGTTCTGAATTGATCATTGATATAATTTGTTGAGTTCGCGGATGAGCTCAGTAGGTGATTATGTCAGAAGCTGCTGAGGTTTTATCGTCTGCTAAATTAGAGAGCCGTGGAGTCGTTTGGCCAAAAATCAGTCCGGTAAAGAAATACTTAAATTTATAAATCGACTAAACAGACTTTGCTGGACTGATTTTTCGCCAAATGACTCTACTTGGCCTTATAGGTATTTTTGTTCCTCAACAACTCCTTGTTCCTCTGTAAATTGAATACCTTTACAGGTACCGTGTACTGATGTGTCTGAAGATGGCTACTTGAGCCGAAACTAGTCACAATACATTTTGTGTAATTTAATTTTTGAGGTCGACCGACTTGGTGTTAGTTTGTTTTTTTCTTTGAAAAAATTTGGACCACTTTGAGAAGGATGGATGGTTTCCATGACTTGACTATATCAGTTTCGAGCAATTAACAAAATGAAACAAATAACAATTCACTACTAAAGTCTGATCTAAGTGTACACTAATAGCTCTTACTTCACAAGTTATCACTTTTTTGAAAAAGAATATTCTCAGATATATTTATGAACATAAAAAAATTGATGTATATATATATATATATATAAAGAAATACATTGATAATTCGCATTCTTCATGTGAAGAAAATATTGATTCTTCCTCGGTTTATTCAACAGAAAACAACTACTTTCCTGGCTATATGCCACGACGAACATTGAATTACATTTATTGAACACACACGATAAGAATTACAAAACAAAATCTTCTGAAGTAGACATATCATTCTGAATATTCAACAGAAAACAACTACTTTCCTGGCTATTTGCCACTTCGAACATTGGATTATATCTATTGAATATCCAAAAAGAGAGCATGAAAAATCAAAATCCTCTGAAATTGAGAATTGACATTATCTCTCAAATCGAATAGAATAATATAATGTTTTATGACATGAAAATATAACTTGAAAAATAAATGGAAACTCACCGACACAATCACAACACTCTGTATACAGCATCCCCAGGCACCTGAAGCACACCGACGAACAAACACGGTCCTTCAGATCGCAGCTGCAAGACTTCGTCAACAGACATTTGCTCACTACTGGTCCACAAACGGCCTCGTTGCAAGCACTCACGAAGAGAAAGCTCAAGCAACTTACCAGCGATCCTACCAGGATAGGTATCGCCAATGATTTCCGCATCTCTGGTGCATGGGACAACGAAAAAATGTGGAATGTCGGACGAGATATTTGCAAATTGGTCGAGAGCACTCAGATCAGCGATTACCTATTGAATGCCAACTTGAAAAACGTGTTTCGAATCAGCAACGTATTCTTTGGAAAGTGATATGCGCAATTGATGACGGTATAGGTATACACTATATACAGGGTGAGCGAATAGATAGATAGATAGATATCATTTATTTTGCCAAAAGGTTTCATCTTTGTAGTATAGCAACAATCTGATTTAGTACCTTAAAACAATAAGAAAAGCATGCTGAGAATATATAAATCACAAAATACAAAAAATAAAATAAATGAATTACAAGTGCACAACAAAAAAGTTTAGAAACTATTATACGCATAAGGAAAGACTAACCAAAGTATTCAGATCCAATTTAACTGTATTCCCAGCGAGCACAAACATCCCTGGGATATTTTGGGATGTTTTGAAAATGTTGGTATGAAGATGTTATTTTGAGACGTAATATGCACTGACCAAAGAGGTCTTTGAAGGATATTGAAGTATTGTTTTTGTTCTTCTGTGGCATTTCTTTGTTTGCCTACTGAGAGGTATCCCTGGGATGTTTTGGGATGTTTTAGAAATGTAGGCATGAGGATGTTTTTTTGAGGCGTAATATGAAAGTATTGTTTTTGTTCTTTTGTGCCCTTTCTTTGTTTGCCCCACCACAACGTCTCATGCTTACGTCACAATACGATGAATTCTGATTTGTTTTCGATTTTGTTCTTCTTGTTCGCAATTGGCATTCGCGTTTGCAGCGTGTCACGCTTACATCACGTTGCTAACGAACAGAAAGGAATTTGGTGAAGTTTATTGTGGTAGAAGACTTATTTAGTTCGTAATAATGACCATCAGATTCAAGATGTGCTGTTCGGTGCCTCAGTGTTATCAATATATAAAAGTACGAATTTATCAATACACAGCTTCTCCGCAGTTGCAAAATTATGCATTGTGAAGAACATTTCAAAAATTGGGAAACCGATTTCCAATTATATGTCTGTGTGTAGTAAGCACTACTCAGAAACCGATTAAGAAGGTAATTTCATATCAAGAAAATATTTTTATGTTCAATCTATTTTTAATGCATTTTTTCATTAAAGGGAAATGGAATCCTAATGCAAAAGTTAATTTTGACAATAGTTTTCAGAAAAGTACCTCGAAAATGGTTTTTTTACAGCGATTTAATGTGCGCAAGCCGCGTTGAAAATGTTTTGTTGTGTCCATGAAAAGGCTTTAAAAAGAACTAGGGAGAAGGTAGTTTTGTGACATATCAAGGACATCTCGATAATTGCCGCCTGCGGCGGATATTGGCTGTTCTATAATAGTTCTATTCATGTGTGAACAGAACATCGCAGTGGAGGTTCAATGTCTCGAAATCTCGTACTTTTAACATCTCTGAGATGTTTTTGTGCTCGCTGGGTTATAATCACTGGTGTGGAATTTTCATTAATATCTTCCTTAGTAATGACGACAATGTTCAAAACACATCTGATCGAACTAGCTCAAAATTTGGAATAGAACGAACTAGAAAAGTTTGCGATGAAAAGTAAAAATCTACTTACGACCTCGTCTTAGTTCTTAGTCTCTCTTTATCGTAGAAACCGAAACAGTCCCATTTGTGAATTAAAGCCTGATGGGGAACCACCAGAATTCAAGCCTGTATTTTCTCTTGAAAGGCGGAACTCAGTATACCTGATATAACAATGTCTGGTACCACCATTCTCACCAAGACCACTATATCGATGCTTGGTATTTCCATTAGCAATACTCTTTCATTGGAAAATCATATCGCGAAAGCTGCTTCACAAAAACTTGGATTTTTATTCCGTGCGAAAATCAACAGCTTTTCATGATCTACAAAGCACAGATACGGCCAGTTTCAGAATACTGTTCTCACATGGTGTTCCCCGAGACATATAACCTCCAAAAATTCCAATGCCAATTCCTACCTTATTTCCTTTGGTTCTCACGATGTTCTCTGAACATTACATCCCTTTTCGTGGGAACTGGAACATAACAAAAAAACATATGGGTTTCATCACCAAAACATATGGCTGATGCTCTTAGTTCCCATCCAGAGCAGATACATCTGCCTGGTGGGTGAAGTCACACTCACTAATACTTTGACTTCAATGGATATGTTCCTCAGATATCTCTGCATCATTCCATCGCTAGCAAATTAATTCAGACTAACTCGACATGCCCAGTCAGCACATCCTTCTGTTGTTAACCTTGAAATTTCTCGAACAACACTTTACCAAAGCTCGTTCGTCTATAGACATTACATCCAAGACATTAAAAAACTCGTCGTTTATTCTCAAGTCCTCAAGTCATCAACAATTATTCAATAATTCTGTACAACTTCGAAATGAAGGAATATCAAAATCAGGGAAAGTAAAGACCTAGCTAGACAGTTCAGACCGAAAGGTCAGTCTGTCCATCAACTGACAATTGCGAATGTCTGAATGAAAGTATACACTTCTTCATTATTGTAACAAAAAACGTAGGTACGATTCTTCTAAACGTCAAAAATTGTAATTTTCATCCTGTTTTCCAGAAATTGGGTGTCTTCTAGGCAAACATCGCCAAAATGTCACCATTTCATCTGAGGGACTTTTATAACACTCAAGTGAACCTCCTAGTGACGTATATGCGATGATTCTCTGAGATGTCTTTATCAAAGTGAAGGAAATCCAACGTTTCTAGTGTTTCGTATCAGGAACGTATTCTTAGGAAAGTGATATGTGCCATTGAAAATCATGAAAGCAGAAAAAAAATACAATGAAAATGTGTTTTCTTTCGAAGAAACTAATTGATAGAGCACCAAATATTGTGAATTATAATGAAGTAGCAACCAATGACATTCTAACTGATGACAATCTGAATAGTCAATAGAAGTCCACTGAAGAAACTACTGAATTTTTTTTTAAATGAGGTAACAATGAAGAAGAAAAATGAAACGAAAGGCAAAAATAATAGCCGCTAGTGCGATACAAAAAAATTATCTGTGAATCTAATTTAACTTCTTAAAATGAACAGTTGTCTGATGCAACCAAGAAGAACAAGATAAATGTAAAAGAAAACCGAACATGCATGGAATAGATAATTGTTTTGGATTGGAATATAATATCTATTATCATGTTGATTTAATTGTAGTCAATTACACTTTCACATACATTATTGACTTTTGAACAACGAATTTCAAGCTTCAATTTAATTTCACTCATGCAATCGCATGTTGGAGTCAATCTACTGAGTGAGATTAAATTATCAATCAAAATGTTCCTTATAGAAATATTTTCAATTCTGTAAACTTTGTAGAAATATAGCAGATATAGCAGAACTAGAAGGAATGTAAGAAAGGACATAGCAGGGAAGTCTGCCGTCTGCCATTTATTTTGACAGGAAGGACATTTGAGAGATTTACTCGAATTGGTGGAAAAATTGTTTTCTCACATTGAATTATCTATCTGATAATATACGAAACATTTCTCATGCAACTTCCAGTATTTTATTTAATAAAGTTTAGTCGAGTTATGGGTCGTGACCGTGATACAACGTTATGTAAGTGCCTTGCAGCTGTTGTATGGTGTGTGTTGATTAAGACAAGGTTTATTCATTCAAACCGCATCAACATCAACCTGTTTTTAATTTATTTGAATGAACCGCTTCCTTCTTCATCATTGAAACCTCACACCTCAACATAAACTCCTCAGCAATATATAGGGGCAGTCATTTTATTCAGATATGTCTAGCTTGAATTCGTTCTATTTCAATACCGTCACAGCAGGCCTTGATAATCAATCAATAATCAAGCCTTGATTATCCAATATGCTAGGAGGTTCTCTTATTCCTGAAATGGAAGAAAAACTAAGAGAAACTATCATTTACTACTCCAAACGTAGATGATTTATAAATGATTAACTGAACTATAGTTGGGAGACAGAATTTTCTACTTCAGAAAATGTGGAAAGTCATGAAAGAAATTCATAGGGCAGTGAAATCTCGATCAGATCATATAACTTTATTTCCACATCCATGTTTTTTCTGAAGAAAATATCGAACACAGGTTACTTGGCTAGCAAAGATGCAATGAGTTCACCAAACTTTCTTCCACCAACTCCGTTCAAATCACTGTAAGGCAAGCTTTCCAAGTTCTTGATCCAGGCAGCCATCCTTGGGTATTTTGCAGCATCAACTGGAACATAACTCGAGGCATTGGTGATCGTTGTCCAAAGGCTGAAATCGGCTATCGTCAGTTGACTGCCAGCAATGTATGTGCTATTTTTGAGGAAAGTTTCTAGGAATTCGTACGCTTTGACTAATGGCACTTTCAAATTCTCTGGAACTACTTTCATTCCTTCAAAAACGATCTTGTCCTGAAAAGAGATGAAGAGAAATTACTAAAACTTTGATGGCTGAACTGTTGAGCAGTTTATGTGCGCACTCTGTATCACAGGCGTTTCATTCAGCGTAAAAAAGTTAACGTCACAAAATCAGAGTTACCCTTTTGCATACTGTGTATTCTGTGTAAGTACTCACTGTGATTGTGCAGGCTTTGCTGAAAAGATCTGTATCAAAAAAGAGTCTTTGGTTGATTGTCGCTCTTTGGGCAAGGTCTGATGGATAAATAGCATTGCCCTTTCCATATTTATCTACGAGGTAAATCATTATTGCATGGCTGTCCCAAACAATCACACCATTGTCGTCTAAAGTTGGCACAGTATGTTGTGGATTCATCTAAAATGAAACATGATTTCATCAATCTTTTATATTACAAGAATCCCGAACTAACCTGTAAAAATTCTGGTTTCAAATGATCCTTCTTGAGTAAATTGGTTTCAATCAATTCAAGTTCCAGTGAAAGGGCTCTCGCAGAAAGAAGAACAGCCCTTACACAAGGGCTGAGATCGACAGCATACAGTTTCGGTGCCATTCTAGTTAAAGTTAACGAAGCACTGATTCAAATTATCAGTGAATACAAATAATCTGGTCTTTCGGATCAATATTCTCAGATAACATTGCTTGTTAGGCCATACTTGTATAATAACAAATCGTATTATAGATAAACTCAACTACGAATATTTACCATATCGTTGTGTTGTTTTTGATAAACTGTTATTCAATGTTTTTCTGGCTAATGATGCCTCAAAGTAAACTTGTGTAACCTATTTATAAACACAGAATGATGAGTGAAACAATCAAGATATCAGCTTAAAGATTATCTTGTATACTCACAAAGTGGTTGATAGAAGAGAAACAGTTCATGCAAAGCCACTAGATTGAATGAAACGCCTCATGAATTTTTTGCCATAGATTTAGATTAGATTTAGAGTGGAGCCTTCGGGCTATCTGCCTCCACACCGCGACCTTTTCAGATCTAGCTTTCAGATGCCCTGTGTAACTTTTTATGTGTACTGCTGTTTCCTCCTCTTCCTGGCAGAAACTGCACAGCAGTTCTTCAGGCAGACCTATCGTACTCATGTGTTTGTTGAGCCTACAATGCCCTGAGAGAAGTCCCACTAGTATTCTAGTTGTACTTCGTTTCTGGCTCAGTGGATATTCTGTGAATGTTGGCGATGGTTTTTTATTGAACCCTTTGGCCTGTCTCATTCCTGGCGAGTTGTTCCACCATTCTTGAGATTTGGTTTGCATCCATGATTTGATACTTGTCTTTTTTGTATAGCTTTTGCAATACCACAAAAGGGTTCTGGGCCATTCAGAGCTTTGTTTGCTCCTGCTCGGGCAAGTGAGTCTGCCTCTTCATTGCCCTCGTACCCTGTATGTGCTGGTACCCATGCTAGAGTCACTTTGTTCTGACTGCCCAGTGCATTTAGGGCTTCTGAGCAGTCCCATACTAGCTTTGCTCTGCTCAACTTGCATTGAATTAACTGCTTTGATTGCCGCCTGGCTATCCGAATAGATTGCAATGGTTTTTTCAAACTCTTGCCTTATCAATCCTTTTACGCAATGATGTATTGCAATAATTTCTGCCTGAAACACCGTCGCGTATTTGCCTAAGCTCAGTGAGTTCTTGTCTTTGGCTTGGCCATATAAATACCAGCTCCTGTTATACGTATTTCAAAAGTTTTTTCAAAGATATATTTTGGAATTATTCCATAATTTTGTGCCATAAAAACACTGATATATATGCTCCTCGATTTATAAAACATGAAAAGTTGGATAAATATTACAGTCAAAAAAATGTAGGTATATAAGTGTATACATATATATATTCATAGTCCATTATAGAAGTTAAAACTGGTAGTTCTTTATTTGTTCAAAAACTTGGCGAACAATTTCTCAATCTCTTTACGTCCTTCGATATTGATGTGGGCATAAGGTAAAGCTTCCATCCTTCCAAACCAAGCTTTGATGTTGGGGTATTTTTTCAAGTCAAGAGGTGAGTAGGTTGAAGAATTGGTGATAGTACACCAGATACTGATATCAGCAATGGTAACCTCGTTACCAGCTATGAACTTTCCACCCTGTAGAAAACGTTCAACCATATCATAATTCTCAGCTACGAACTTTATATCTTTATCAGTTAATTCTGATGTGCCACCTCGAAACAACAGTCGATTCTGAAAAAAAAAATAATCGTTTACTTGTGACTAGTCATCGTGATTAGTTAAGCATATACTTACAACTACAGTAACGTATCTAGCGAACAAGTCCCCACAGTCAAAGAACAGTATTTGGTTGACCAAAGCTCTTTTTTGAACGTCTTTAGGGTATAAAGAGCTGGTTTTTCCATATTGCTCCATCAGGTAGATCATGATGGCATGACTGTCCCATAGATAGAAGCCATCATCATCAAGAGTGGGAATGGTACGTTTGGGATTAATCTATGAAAATTAAAGTTTATTTGAAAGGGAACACCAAAGGGAGGACGCTTCAGCAATGTTTATTCAATAGAACAACCGATAGAAGATGATTCAAAAATGATTACGTTGAAAGGAACCCTATAGCTGGAGAACGTTATAAAAGCTCAGTAGGTGTTTTTAGGTGATTTTGGATATATTATTACAGAACATATTTTTCCACCTTCAGCGTTCGATGATGCATTTGGGGATTGGTACCCCATAAAAACCCTGATAATAATTTCTGTGATTCTGTATATTATGTAATATTTAACTTCTGTTGTTTCCATGAGTACACTACGAAATGTTTTCTCATTGATATGTACATGAATGTTTTCATATTGTATGATTCACGAACATAGGCTAATGTACGACGCGTCTGAAGTCTGAACTGCCATCCTAAAAGAGCTTTTTTTTACGAACATTTTCCTATAATTTTCAGTTGCAACTGTAAATCAGTCAGAGAAAACTTTTTTTTTAGTATCTCCTAATTTACAGTTGCATATATTCGAAAGAAAAATAGTTTTTTTGAAATGACAGTTCAGACGCGTCGAACTAATGATCTTAATCCTATGTCGGAAATATGTCCCTGATTTGGTACTTTCAAATTGAAAAGTGATTTTTTCATAAAATTGAAACCTATCCAACTTGAGCAACTCCGGACTTCTACGAACATTTTATAAATATTTATTTGAATTTCACCTTGAATAGCTAAGTATCAATTGGGTTCCCTATCCTCCCTATATAGGGAATTGCTAACTTGGTTATTATTGGAGGTTCAAAGTCGGTTAAATGGACAGTTTAGTATTATTTCCCAAGCTGAATACGATGATGAAATCATACTTTTTTAAATGGGACACCCAGTATACAATATTCTCAATCGATAGAAAATTCGAACCTGAACAAAATCTATCTGATGAATTTTTATTCTAAATTCAAAAATTACTTCATGGTAAGGTGAAGCTACCGTCAGTAATACCTGGACCTCCTGAACTCTAAGGATGGAAGATTATGGGACATTTTTTGTTCGGAATCGATCAAGAATATTGTATACTGGGTGTCCAATTAAAAAAATATACCTTTTGACATAACTAGTGAACGCGATGTTCGATTTTTCTTTCGATTTCATCATCGTATAATCAGCGGAAAATATGCTACTAGTTTGTCCATTTAACTGACAGGACAAAATGTTTCGGGCTTACATAATCCCTGACTTCGGATCATTGATCAGTAAATAAATGTTCTAGAGATGACTTATAGTATTTCCTCCCATAAATATTATTATAATAATGTAATTTCCACACAACGTACATAAAATGATCAACACTGATAAATGTTATATGAGTAGCCCAAATGAGTACCTTTGGTAAGTCACTCCTGAGGTAATCTCCATCGCTCAAAATGAAGTATTCAACTTCTAGTTGCAGCCCTATGGCTTCAGCAAACATTTCCACAGCCCTGGAACATGGGCTTGCTTTGCATCCATAAAGTTTTGGCGCCATTCTGAAGACTTCTGTTATAGTTCGACTGAAACTTGTTGTGACCAGAGAAACTGTTATTATTTATACTTGTTTATACCGACTAGAGTCTAGCCACTTATCGAATTACCGGATTATACAGGGTGGGGCAATAGTACGCCAGAGTTCGATTGCTTGGTTATGATAGCTAAAACCATTATTCAAAAACGAATGTAAACTAGGCGAACTAGGTGCACAAAAGAAAATGCCACAATAATAAATCGTAGATTTTTTTCTTGAAATTATGCCATAAAAGTCATTTTTATTTAGATTATGGAATTCAGGAAAAAATAATGATAATTTCATTCGGTGGGTAGATGATATGTGATATTTTTCATTCATTTTCATTCCCAAGAATTGTATAGGTTGACTGAAACAGACTTTTTAATTCGGAGGGTTCAAAAATATTTTTCTCGAGTTTTTCATAAAGAACACTCCGTATATATATATATTTCCACCATATACGATATAGGATTGGGACGCAAATATTTTTGAATATACATCCCTTTGGCTATTCAAAACCGTTTCCCATTCATTACATGTTGAGAATTTTGAGTTTTTTTTATTCACAGATACACCCCTATAATTCAAGCCATAAAAATCGTATCATGAGTTTTGAGTGACTTCAGCCCGTGTCGTTATGCCTCATTATTTCATGATCATTATGTCAATGCATGTTTTATTAGTTTTTCAAAGTACCCACTATTCATTACAGAACTCGTCCGTCATATAAGATCCACCATCTTGAATTTCCAAATTTTGACAAAACAATCATAATCTCCGACCCCAAAAACCATCAGATACCATATTGGATCCACCATCTTGAATTTCCAATTTGAAAATAGTTTACGACCGCTTCTCAGACCTACCAAATATGCACAAAAATTACTCGAGAATTTTGTATATTAGAGATAGTGCGATATGTGGAACACTTGAAATTAATAATTCTCCGATTTCTTCTATAGATCACCCAGTATAGTACAGATGATGGAGCACAGCTGCGAATGTATCGAAAATATTGTTCACGATATGGGATAAATCGCTATCCATCATGTTTACAAGGAAAAGTTTCATGTTCAATTTTTTGCATATATGGAAAAGTACCAGTACTAACCTTCCGTTCCTCTCAACTTGTTTTCTTGCGAAGAGGAATATTTATTCAAGAAACTTACACAGTATGCCAAGGTGTCTCAATTTCCTTTGTCGTCCAATAATGTGTATATAGGAGGTGTCATGTTCAGAATGTAACTTTTCTGGATATGATATGATCTATAAGGCACAGATCCGACCTGTCCTGGAATACTGTTCCCATATTTGGAGTGCAGCACCCACACATACCCTGAAACTGTTGAATACCTACTGTCCAAAAAAGGGCAATTCGTCTCGTGGGTGATGCCTCGTTCACAAACTCACTCACTTCTCCGGGACACCGTAGAAAAGTTGGCGATCTGGCTCTATTTTATAGATATTTTCATGGACGATGCTCTTCTGATATATCAACAAGTATTCCTTCCTTGGCCGTCCCCGCGAGATTAACCCGTCGATTTGAGGCTTCGCACCCCTTCGTGGTCACTTTGTAGACCTGCACAACATATCTCATATAAAGACTCATTCATCCAACGAACAACGTGGATCTGGAACACATTGCCAAGGAAGGTGTTCCCCGAGACATATAACCTCCAGAAATATAATAAGAACACCAATTCCTACCTTATTTCCCTTGGTTCTCACGATGTTCTCTGAACATTACAGGATATCCCTTTTCGTGGGAACCAGAACATAAAAAAAATATCCTGTGATCCAAAGGATTGAAGTAGTATATTATACGGGTGGCGGAAATTTAATCGAAAGACAAATGATAGAAAAACATTTGATGGAAGTCTTTTGATCAAAAGTTTTTTTTTTATAGAAATCCATTTGATCGAATGTTTAATGATAGAAAATACATTTGATAGAAACATAAATGATAGAAAATACATTCGATAGAAACAGCATTTGATAGCAAATTCAACGGAGCTACGCTCAAGTTAGGTCAGTAATTTTGTGAAGATATGATCCTTCTTCATATATTTGAGAAGAAGGTGACCACGAATTAAGGGGTGCGAGGCCTCAACTCGACGGGTTAATCTCGCGGGGACTGCCAAGAGAGGAACAATTATTGTTGATATTTCAGAAGAGCATCGTCCATGAAAATATCTATAAAATATAGCCAGATCGACAACTTTTCTATGATGTTCCAGAGAAGTGAGTGAGCTTGTGACCGAGGCATCACCCACGAGACGAATCGCTCTTTTTTGGACAGATTCCAACAGTTTCAGGGTATGTTTGGGTGCTGCACTCCAAATATAGGAACAGTATTCCAGGACAGGTCGGACCTGTGCCTTATAGATCATAAGCAGCTGACTGGAAGTGAAATAGCTCCTGGCCCGAAACAGAAATAGTTATTTATTATACAAGGGAAAAAAATAGCAGATTTCAGCTTCAGGTTGTGTTGTCTTTCGACGCGTAGCGTCACTTCTGTCAGTGTAATTCTGTGATTTGATTTTGTGAAATTGCGAATTCAGTGGTTGTTAAGTAATATACGTAACCGCGAAGTCGAATGAAAGATAAAAATACTTGCAGTTCTTTCTCGCAGACGGTATTATTGACTCATTTTTCGGAACGATAGCACAACAGAAACCATCAACAGTATATATATGTGATACATATCAGGGAAAAAAGTACTCACTTTTTTCCCACGGGAAAAAGGTAATGAAAAGTGACATTTTATAACTTGCCAACAGACATGAAATGCCAAACTTTTTTTTCCGTCACAAAAAAAAAACAAGTTTTCGGGATGCACTTTCAGCAATTGATCTCACGTGATTTTCCTAAGAAGGGTTATTGCTGATAGTAATACCATCAAGCATCGAAATGGATGTCTTCAAAGATAAACCATCATTTTCGGAAAGTATAGGCAGAAAATCTGCGTTCAAATACGGTGTACCGGATTAACTTGAAAGGGTTGATATCAAATACATATTATTACTTACTGAGAAAAGAAATTCAACAACGGTGAATTATCGAGGTCTATGAATGTCGTGCCATTATCATACTGATATGCTCCTCATTTATAAAACATGAAATATTGAAAAAACATCACAGTTAAGAGAATGTAGGTATATTATAATCAAATATTAATGTATACATGTATATCAAAAAACATCGAGATTACACTACATACTTCATAGAAGTTGAGACTGATAGTTCTTCATTTGTTCAAGAACTTGGCGAACAATTTCTCAAATTCTTTACGTCCTTCAATATTGATGTGAGCATAAGGTAAAGCTTCCATCCTTCCGAACCAAGCTTTGATGTTGGGATATTTTTCCAAGTCAACAGGTGAGTAGGCTGAAGAATTAGTGATAGTACACCAGATACTGATATCAGCAATGGTAACCTCGTTACCAGCTATGAACTTTCCACCCTGCAGAAAATGTTCAACGATATCATAATTCTCAGCTACGAATTTGATATCCTTCTCAGTCAACTCTGTGGCACCTTCAATCAACAGTAGATGCTACAAAAAATAATAAGTATCGTTTACTCGGTACTATAGTCATCATGATTTTGATTAGTTAAGTAGATACTCACGACTACCCTGATGTGTCTAGCGAACAAGTCTCCACAGTCAAAGAACAATCTCTGGTTGACCAAAGCTCTTTTTTGGACGTCTTCAGGGTATAAAGAGCTCGTTTTTCCATATCTTTCCATCAGGTAGATCATGATGGCATGGCTGTCCCACAGATAGAAGCCATCGTCATCAAGAGTGGGAACGGTACGTTTGGGGTTAATCTATGGAAATGAAGGTGTATTTTAAAAGGAACAACGAGGGAAATACGCTTCAACAATGCTTATTCAACAGAGCACAACCGAAAAAAAGGTGATTTAAAAATGAGATGAGACGTTGAAAGCAACGCTAGAAGTTGAAATTTGCTCACTAGGACTTGATATTTGGTTATTGCAATACATATTTTCCCCATCTTTAGTGTTCTGATGTATATGGAAGGTTGGGAAGTCATGAAATCTTGATAGTTGCTCTTTTATTTTTCTAGATGTATTAAACACAACTCTTTTCATACCAATGTGAGTATGCTTTTTAGCTTTAAAATGTTTTCCTCTTCACATTATGTTGATGAATGTTTTTATATTGTAGGACCTTTGAACAAGGGCTAATGATGGACATCTCTTGTATGTCCGAACCATATCCATGATTTGATATACTTCCAATTCAAAAAGTCGTTCTTTTTTCATTAAATTGAAAACTATCACTATCCACTTTGAACAACGATAGACACAATTCATGGATGTGCTTCATTGAATAAGACATATTTACTTGATTTAAACTTCAAATTCGCTCTGAAGCAAGATATAGATTTACTAATTTCAAGATTACATCTTGTCGTGCATATATGACACTTATATTTGCTTCATTCAATTACATTTTGATTAATGCAACAATTCCTTTTTTCCGTGTGTTATCAAATAGTTCTAAAAGTCTGTTCCGTAACAAAGTGCATCGATAAGATGTAGGTATGTCATAAATACCAGTCCCAATTTAGTAGGAATGGAATTCGGAATTGGTATTATAATACTTGATTAGCAAATCGATGTTGTAGAGATGACTCATAGTGCTTCCTTCAACAATAACTATAATTGTTATGAATAGAATGAATAAGTACCTTTGGTAAGTCACTCCTGAGATAATCTCCATCGCTCAAAATAAAGTATTCCACTTCCAGTTGCAGCCCTATAGCTTGAGCACACATTTCCACAGCCCTAGCACATGGGCTTGCTTTGCATCCATACAGCTTTGGTGCCATTCTGAAGACTGCTGATGTTCGACTAATACTGGTTGCGACCAGAGAAATTGTTATAATAATTCATAGCGACTAGAGTCTAGCCACAGATTATCGAATTACCGAATTATACAGGGTGGGGCTATAGTGCGCTGCAGTCCGATGGCTCGGTATGATTGCCAGAAACATGATTCAAAAAGGAATAACGGGAAATTATTACCTTATTCAAGGTGTTTCCTAACCTCTCTGGCAAAATAAAGGGAGCGAATCCTCATTTAATCTCAAGACGAAATGAAAACAAACGTCTCTTGTTTTTCCATGGTTTTTGTGTGGTCCACAATGGACATATATGTAATGAAGTGGATTTTATTTTTCATCTCGAGAACTAAACTAGATACGGAATCACCTTATGAGATGAAAAAGTTGATACATCATCACTTGCTTGATCCGAAAAAAATATTGGAATTACAGAAAGAGTCAGTGGTATATATTTTATGTCATATGTAATACCACAAGTTATATATTTTGTTTTTATTTGACTTGGCCGTTACTTGATGAATCCATGTCAGATGTTAAAACTTCACAAACGATAAGAATGAATGAACTGTTCATTTTACCAGTATATCACCTGACGAAGCTACTTTGTTAGCAAAACATGTCGTGTGTTTGAGAATTTTGAGGAAATCTTATCGTTTGTTTGTCGAATTGTTGTCAATTCTCTCAACTGTGCCCATAGTCAAGAAATCAACTTCCTAATGAAAAAATTAGTTTCTTAATGAATTTCATTTCATTTCATTTCATTTCATTTCATTTCATTTCATTTCATTTCATTTCATTTCATTTCATTTCATTTCATTTCATTTCATTTCATTTCATTTCATTTCATTTCATTTCATTTCATTTCATTTCATTTCATTTCATTTCATTTCATTTCATTTCATTTCATTTCATTTCATTTCATTTCATTTCATTTCATTTCATTTCATTTCATTTCATTTCATTTCATTTCATTTCATTTCATTTCATTTCATTTCATTTCATTTCATTTCATTTCATTTCATTTCATTTCATTTCATTTCATTTCATTTCATTTCATTTCATTTCATTTCATTTCATTTCATTTCATTTCATTTCATTTCATTTCATTTCATTTCATTTCATTTCATTTCATTTCATTTCATTTCATTTCATTTCATTTCATTTCATTTCATTTCATTTCATTTCATTTCATTTCATTTCATTTCATTTCATTTCATTTCATTTCATTTCATTTCATTTCATTTCATTTCATTTCATTTCATTTCATTTCATTTCATTTCATTTCATTTCATTTATTTATGTTAACATACAATTGTATTTACACACGTCAAGCCATAATACATAATTCAATTACTGTTACAAAAAATATAAAATATACATATACTAATACAAAATAATTTTACGACACTGTACTGAGTACCTTAAAGTTATGTTAAAACTCGTTTCTTATCACAAGTTGTAGTTTAAAAATTCATCTATTGAATAAAACCTGCGTTGATTGAGTAAACCTCTTATTTCCTTCTTGAAATTTTCAAATTCTAAATTTATGATATTGATAGGAATTTTATTGTAAAATTTTACAGCCAAGTACCCAGGGCCGTCTTGACACCTTGTTAGACGTTGATGAACTGGTATTAACCTATTCCTACCTCTTGTCTGAATTTCGTGATTTTCAGCGTGAGTCCTATATAAATTTTTATTTTTGTGAACGTACATCAGGCATTCGAGTATGTATACACATGGCAGAGTCAACACATCAAGCTCACCAAATACCTCACGGCAGTCATTTATGGCACCGTGCCCTGAGTGCGCTTACCATTATTTTCATTCAAATTTCATATACCAAAATGGTTTATGAAGGGTATTGCCAGGAGGTTTGTTTTGACAATATACCATAAATTAACAGGTCTTTTGAAAAAGAGGTTCCACATGCCCCTATGAAAGCGCTATTCAAGGAAAGTATCAATAAAATTGATGGGGCAAACAGCCAGCACGTGTTCAAACCTAAACTAATTTTGTAGATACTGTACTGCATACTGAAGATAATGTCAAATAATGACGTAGACAAGACGTTGACATAAGTCAAAGTCAATGTCAAGGGATAAAACATGAAGTTTCGACCATGAGCATAGGCATATAACAATATAGCTAATACAACTCCTCAAGGAATGTGGAGGTAGGAGGAGGGATGAATGTAGGGCAGAGTTAAGCAAACCTGAAAAATCATTGACTATGAAATACCAAAGATTGAATCACAGAGTATCAATCTGGCATTAATCGATCATTTAGCGTGGTACATATATCTGTACGCTAAATGCCATTTTAGTTATGTGAGTAAGCTATAAAAGATCCGACCTATCCTGGAATACTGTTCCCATATTCGGGTTGCAGCACCCAAACATTCCCTGAAACTATTGGATTCTGTTCAAAAAAGGGCAATTCGTCTCGTGGGTGATGCCTCGCTCATAAACTCACTCACTTCTCTGGAACACCGTAGAAAAGTTGGCGATCTGGCTCTATTTTATAGATATTTTCATGAACGATGCTCTTCTGAAATATCAGCAATTCTTCCTCCCTTGGCAGTCCCCGCGAGATTAACCCGTCGAGTTGACGCTTCGCACCTCTTCGTAGTCACTTTGGAGACCTGCAGAACATCTCTTTCCAAAGACTCGTTCATCCAACGAACAGCGAGGCTCTGGAACACATTTCCAAGGGAGGTGTTCCCCGAGGCATATAACCTCCAGATATTTAAGAAGAACACCAATTCCTTCCTTATCTCCCTTGGTTCTCACGATGTTCTCTAAACAACAGGATATCCCTTCTCGTGGGAACCAGAGCATAAAAAAAATACATGTCGTAGGAGGATAGATGAGTGTGACAATGAATAATTCTTTACTTTCTTCTATCGATCACCCAGTAGAATTCAGATAAGACGCATAGTTGCGTAGTTAAAAGTATCAAATGTTGTTTACGATATGAAATATATATATCGCTATCATGTTTATAAGGAAAAGTTTCATATTCAATTTATTGCAAATGGATAAGTCCCCGTACCATCCTTCCGTTCCTCTCAACTACTGTTCTTAAGAAGAGGAATATTCATTCAAGAGAATTACACAGAATACAGGGTGTTTCAGCTTTCTTTGTCGTCTAATGATGGGTATTGTATGTACGATCTTGTCTGTCATAGACGGTATTTTTTCTATTCGATTTATACTGATCAATAAAACACTAGTTGACTAATACACTACATTTATTAATCAACTCCGACTGATGTGATGTATACAGAGAACAATCCGAATTCGTGTATGCCTATACGACAGCTTCTTACAAACAGTACTGACTAACTCGAATTGGTGCCAGCCAGAGCCCAGAAGGGACGCTTGCACTTAGCCAAAAAGATATATAAAACAGATGTAATTTATGCTCACATTTGGTTTTCTAGACATACTTGAAATATTTGGCGAGACACTTTTAGGCCAATCATATTTGACAATCAACAGCATGCCCTTATATGGAAAATAGTCTAAGCGAGAAAGAACCCTAAGCTTACAAACCTACATAAAAAACCGTTAAGTTTGAACATTGTATAGTATACCGGATGACACAGGAGACATGTAACAGCATGTATTTCTAAAATTCGAAGAGATAAAAATTTGAGATTCACAAGGGTTATATCATCAATGATGACGCTTCCCTTGAACCCAATGACAATTTTTTCAACCACCTGTTTGATTGGAAGTAGACCCAACTTTTTTTTCAAATGGCACCCTGTAGCCTATCTAAGTCACCCTAAAATTCTCTATTCAACTATGTATCACAATTTGGTAAGCGAAATGATACTGAAAATACACTAATGTAGACTTATGAACAGATGTATTAGGAGATTACAACAATTTCAGTTTCATGTATCCAAATGAATGATCATTTTATGGCTACATGGCAAAAATAAAAGACAAATAGTTTTTTCACAAGTAGCCAAATGAAAAAAACTGAGTTTCTATCTTAATTTTCTCAATTTCGTGAGTTATTTTCGTATGATGTTTTCAAACAATGAAATTATTGGCAATCTTCTGGGACCGATTAGGGTATGGAAATATTCTGATAATATAATATCGTCTAAGTAATGATCTTTGGATTTCTCAGCCTATCAAGCATCCAAAAGTCATTGTATTCGGCCACAGCCAACTTGATGAAATTCAATAAAATGCAATTTAACAACCAATTGATGAACGAATATCAAAGGTGCGTTTTGTTGACGCTAACCTAGTTCTGTAACAGCTATTCCATGCGAACAATTTCAAAAAATATTCGCTCTGGCTGCTCGATATATTTCGATCGAACAGGACGATGGAATAAGATGACAAGAAGAGAAATCGAACAAAATGGCGGTATTGAATGTTAATTTTTGAGGTTTCTGATTTTCTGATTTTCTCACCCAACAGCTAGTGAGTGAAAATAGTGAAAGTTTATATTACGAAGGAATATATGGTATTTGTTATTAAATTGGAAAAGAATTATGTCGCTGCCAGAAGGATTTTTCCATTGAGGATTCGGAGATTCAATAAAGTATCATTTTCAAAAAACTACAGTATTTCTCCTCCACGTTGAATTTATGCAAATAATGCTCTATTACATGAAGAAAAAAGTCAGGTTACGAACATGAAATTTCCGTTTTCATGATCAATCATTGTATTCTATTATTTGGGTTAATTTCGTTTCCTTGCACAACCATTCTATTCTATTCCACAGGTTATCAACAAAACGCACCTTTAGTTGAATAGAGAATTTTGAGGCGAATAAGATAGACTACAGAAATATACAGGGTGCTATATGAAAAACAAAAGTTGGGTCTACTTCCATTCAAACAGGTCGTTGAAGAAAATCGTCATTGGGTTCAAGGGAAGTGTCTCCATCGATAATATAACCCTTGTGAATATCAATTTTTTATCTCTTCAAATAAAAAAAACTACAGGCTGTTTCCTGTGTCACCCGATATATAGCACTATTTAGGTACGGCGAAGTTTTGGAATTCTTCTTCAATGGAAGTACTCCCAAGAACTTGTTACCTACAAAAGTCAAACAAATTTGAAATGGTTGGTTTTCTATAGACTGGATAGTGGTCTTTCTACGAGAGCCAGACACAACTTGGCCACGAAACTCGAGAGACCGGCAAAAAAAAGTAGAAAATAATCATTAATCAATTAGGTACATAGCTTGTACATACATCTAGACTCTAGAGGTACAATAGATTGAGAGATTTCAGGCGATTGATGCATTTATTGAGTACATGTTCATTTCTTCATTATCGTTTTCAAAATCTGATGATACTGTTCCAACCCATTTTTATTTTCACTGTAGTATGGTAGCTCCTCCATTTTCTTCAACCAAGCCGTGATCTTGGGAAATTGCGCTTCTGTGAGTGGCACAAACAGTGCGAAAGAGGTAAAACTGGTCAAAAGTTCAAAACTGTCACCCGGAAAATCGAGGCAAAAATGAAAGTCTCTGTTACTTGTTAGAGGCTATATAGGTATGGGTAAAAAAATTGTATACCACAAATCGTATTGTAGAAGGTTATTATTCACCAAATCGTTTTGTTATCTTTCAGCAACTTTCATTTGATAATGTTTCCACTTATGACTTGTATGTTTATCTAAAATGATTAAAACATCATATTCAAGATCATCTTGTAGAAGTGTACTGCCGGTCAAGATATATGTTCTTCGTTATATGAAGAATTTTCCATTAGTAAACATATAAAAAACATCATCAAACTCGAGAAACTTCAGGTTTATTATTAATTATTATAAAGATGAGAAAGCATCAAAATGACACCCGATGTGAATTTATTAGGATGAATCTTCGATGTGGCTGATAGTGCTTCATTTCTTTATATACTTGGCCATCACTTCTTCAAAGAGTTTACCTCCTAGGATATTAAAATGAGCATACGGTAAAGCTTCCATCCTCTTATACCAAGCTTTTATGTTGGGGAATTTTTCAAAGTCAACAGGTGAGTAGACTGAAATATTGGTCATGCTACACCAAATACTGATATCAGCAATGGTAACCTCGTTACCAGCTATGAACTTTCCACCCTGCAGAAAATGTTCAACGATATCATAATTCTCAGCTACGAACTTGATATCCTTCTCAGTCACTCCTGTGGCACCTCCATAAAACAGTAGGTTCTGAAAATAATAAGGACAACAATCGTTTACTTGAAAGTGGTCAACATGTTCAGCTATAAGTAGATACTTACAACCACACCAAGGTGTCTAGCAAATAAGTCTGAACCGTCGAAAAACAATCTCTGATTGACCAAAGCTTTACTTTCGATGTCTTTAGGGTACAAAGAACTGTTTTTTCCATATTTCTCCACCAGGTAGATCAGTATGGCATGGCTGTCCCACAAAATGAAGCCATTGTCATCAAGAGTGGGAACGGTATGTTTGGGGTTAATCTACGGAATAGAGAAAACAATTTTACCGCTTGGTACGCATTTCAAGAAAGTATTATTAATCAAACCTATATGACAAAACATTATGTACTTTTAGTTTTCAATAAACATAAATGTAACCTATTTCCAACAAAATAGAAAGAAACAAAACAAATATTTTCATACAAAATAATCCCATTCCTAATTCTCAAAAAAAAACTCACAAATATCACAAGATACAGTTACATAGGTATACTCATAAGATTTGAGTATATAAAGAAAGGAACAAATAGTAACAAATTTGAAAATGAACAGCATAAATACGGAACATATGAAAAAAGTAAACGTAAGAAACAAACTGTTATAACAGAGGTATACAAAAAATTCAATTTGATCTGAATCAGATGAAGTATTGTCCTTTTTTGGTTCATACATACATATCATTAGTACCTATATGTAAATTTATTACTTAGATTGTAAAATTGATTCAAACAGAGCTTGCAAAATACCATGCAATTCATTAGTGTATGACTGAATATTAATAACAATATAGGTAATTATAATGATAAATAAGTGTCAAAAAGTGGGTTATGAAATGTTTCAGTAGATCAGTAAATCAATATGCAAATCAATATGGAAATCAAGAAGAATAATAAGAAGACTGCAGTAAGAAAAAAAATAGATTGATTTTTGACGTTCATTGAAATATCAAAATATGGTCAGTAGCGTATTTCAAAAAAGTTACATCAAATTTCATAAAGAGAATGCGAACTATCTTTCTCACATTCACGATAGTAAATTGGTCCAAGGCTTTTATAGAAGTTCCTTTCATGGATTTTGAAATATTCAAGAAAATCTGGAAATTATTGATGAATAAATGAACATACTCGATAAATGAATGAACATTTGTTTCGAGATGAAGAAAAAAAATATGATAAAGGACCTTAAATAAAACATGCCTTAAATAATATGAAATTGACAATGAAAATATATTAGAATTTGAATAATATTTGTTCGAAAGTATTTTTGTATGAGACATTTGCATCACATTGTATAGTAATTAATATTTTACAGGTAATAATCATCATATATATTCTGAGAATATTGAGAATCGTATCAAAATATATGATAATCATATTCCTATTGTTTTATCAATATTTATAATGTTTACCCTGACACAACCTGTTATTCCCTAGCTTCAATGCTGATTATCCCACTAATACAGTGTTCGAGGCGAAGTGGTAATAAGGTTCCAGGTTCTTAACGAGCAGGGGGTTTTTGTTAATTAATATTTTATTTTCCTCCATCCCTTTCGAACCACCCACCACCAATATTGAGAACTTGGCCCCAGGAGAGATAGGCCTCTGAGACTAACACTTCACAATAAATGTCCTGCTTTCTTGAATATGAAATGTAAGTTTGTGTTGTAATGTAATATGTGTGTAAACAATACAGAACCTCAATACAGGTTCGTAAAAACTTAATCACAAGATAGTAGATTCGCATCTCCACCGGAGCAAGTTTTTTTCTCGATCAATATACTAGGAATATTCTCAGAATATTTGAAACAGTCCATTCGGAATGTTCATAGAACGTCCCTAGAATAATTGTATCAATCACATTGTGAGAATATTCTGAGATCATTCATGAATGACAATGTGCTATCTGGGTAAGTACCTTTAATAATTCACTTCTGAAGTAATCTTCATCGCTATTCAAATCGAAGTATACCACTTCCAGTTTTAGCCCTATGGCTTCAGCACACATTTCAACTGCCCTGGCACATGGGCTCGTGTGGCTCGCATACAGCTTTGGAGCAGCCATTCTGATAACACTCCACACTTCTTCCCAAGTTCAACACTGATACTGAATCAGTGAACAGTGTGAATGCAAATCATGAATCGTGACCAGAAAAAATTCTATTTATAGCGACTACAAACTAGAATCTAGCTAGCTGAAATCAGGAGGTGATCAGGAGCCGGAGCCGCTTAACCAAACTAAAACGGACGAAGAATAATAATAATCATTTGATATAGATAATGTCTACACAACCGCCGCGGCGGTTGGATACTGAAATAAACAACAGTCGCGGCAGCGATAGCTCAGTTGACAGTGTGTTTGATTACTACGGTGGTGGCTCGGGTTCAACCCCAGCGAGGCCTTACTTTTTTTTTCTTCACAAGGTGTTTTTCGGAAGATATTCTCCTTGTGAGAAAGGTGTATTTAGTTAACACAGGATATCTTATGGATATCCATTTCAAGTCCTATTCAAGGCGGGATATCCGTGAACATAAAATGTATATATCCATAAGATATATCCGATTGCGGATGTACTTGGGATATCCGAAACAAACGTCCTGAATACGTCCATAGGATATCTATAAGATACAGAGACAAAAGATCAATACCTAGAAATTTCAAATCAAGAATATACAATGAATGAAATGATAAATAAATAAAAGGAGATCCACAAAAGTAACACTTGTGCGTGGGTCTTCCAAAAGATAGCACACATTGTGATGCACTATCTGCTATTATTATCAATTCGGTTTTCAAAAACAGCGCTAGGTGGCGTAACGTCTCAAATAGTCCAAGATTGGTAGAACTGATGATTATTTATAGTTCTTCGATTATACCAACCTTGGAATAGTCAAATAATGTCAATCTGTTCTCATATTTAATTAATTTGGAGTGAATTTGAAAGTGATTCCTACGAATTCGTCTAAAATTGATGATGCATAAGAACTGACAACTACATAATTCGAACGCAGGGAGACGTGAGTGCTTCTCAATTTTTGTGACTTTTTCTATATATAGGGTATACTTTCTCTTATCCATATCAATAGTTGATATCTTATGGATATCCATAATAAATATCTTTGAGATATCCAAAATGGTCACACTGTCACATCCTATGGACGTCCATAGGATATACCAGAGCCTTTTCCGGATATCTTATGGACATCCACAATATCCATGATGGATATCCATAGTATATCCATAAGATGTACTTGATGTACGTAATTGACTTTATCTTTGGACTTTCTCTTCCTCCGGCAAATTTCAGAACCCTACCTCAATAATTACGTGAGATACGGGGGTGCTTCCATAAAAAATGCGACAAAATTTCATTTTTCCGAGCTGAAAATTTTCCAGGAAAAATTTGAATAGTTAGTAAATTGGGCGTCCTGATTCCAAATCTGAAGTGATTTTCGACCTATTTTAACTCCTAATATCATTTTCCGGAAATTGGGGTAGTTTCATGGCTGTTGGCGAGCAGTGTATATCACTGAAGATCACCCCACTTGGTCATAGAGTGCATTTTTGGTATATCTCTCGCTCCAGCAAACTTCAGGATCCTTACCCAACGATTACGTAAGATACAGGGGTGGGTCACACTGTATGTAAATTTGGAATGGTTGATTATTCACTTGGTCTCGAAACTCGAAAGATCGGCAAAAAAAAATTAGATAATGATCAAGCTATCAGGTACATAGCTTGTACATACATATAGAGGTATATTATACGTACAATAGATTGAGAGATTTCAGGTGATTGATGCATTTATTGAGTACATGTTCATTTCTTCATTATCGTTTTCAAAATCTGATGGTACTGTTCCAACCCATTTTTATTTTCACTGTAGTATGGCAGCTCCTCCATTTTCTTCAACCAAGCCGTGATTTTGGGAAATTGCGCTTCTGTGAGTGGCACAAACAGTGCGAAAGAGGTTAGACTGGTCACGAAGCTGAGGTCTGCGATGGTCACCTGATCACCGGCAGCATACTTAGTCTTCTGAAGGAGTTTCTCCACCACCTGGAAGGCTTCAGATAAATTGTCTAGAAGCTTCTGTGGAATTTCTTTGCCTCCTCCGAAAAGTAGGCCCTGAAACGAACGATAAATAGGTTATACCGTGATGCTTTCATCCAAAAACAGTACAGGGTGTCCCACTTAAATGTGGCACGCCTCTTTATTCTCGTAATTCTCAACATATTTTGGAAATTCAAAAACTTTTCTGGAATATGACATTTTCCCCTTTCATTTGTTTTTTGTTTCAACTCGTTATCACATGACGGAAGTATGTCCGGAATAATAACAGCAAATGAATCGCTGTGTTGTGGATCTGGCTCAGACTGAGCGGTGGCATAGATAGGTTTTGTAACCTTTACCACTACCTACCATTCGTAAATAAATAATAATCTAATGACTTATTTTTCATTAAATATACCTACTACACAGATTTTCTAGTTTCTACTGACATCTCTCTCAACCCATATATTCCAGGTTTCTGTTCCTTCCCAGAACAACTATCTGAAAGAACCAGTGGCGTCCATTGAAATATACATTTGACAATTTTTTTATATTAAAAGTGTTGAAATTTGATGATTTTGGATCTCTTCTGTAAATTTAACTTTGTGATCTATCAGGATAGCAAATTCGAAAATCCACGCCCATATGCCGCCGATGAGAAGCTGCCGTTGCACTGTAATTGTACAATATATACGTTACAATAATATAATATACGTTACAGTTTTCGAAATCTACCATTCAATTGGAATAATTGGATGGCATAATTCTATCTCGATATGAAATCGCGAAATCGAGTGAAGATTTCCGCACAGGAAAGTGCAATAATTCAATCATTTTTCTCAGGATAGTGATTGACACAGGTGCCGTTCGATTAACTATAATTATTTTACATGCCTTTGGGACATTATACAGTGTCATTCATAAAGTCGGCATCATACGGGAAAAACTTTTTTTAATGACTTATTTTGAAATTCAAGTTGGACGTTGAGTTTTGCCTCAAAAAAGATGGAAAATGGCCTACTCAATCGGGGTCACGTGACTTTCGCTACATGTCAAAAGTGACATTTTTTCAAATTAATCGTTGAAAGTAGGCTTATTTGTTCGAATATCGAAGAAATTCACTTGAAAAAGTTGTTTCTATTTCAATTTTACATATGTGACTCGGATTTTATCTTTCTATTACATTTTTTAGATTTCGATATTTTGTAAAAATTTTCGAAATTTCTGTAATATTAAAAAAATTGTAAATTCGATAAAACTATTACATACCAGTAGTTTCATCATGCTACTAACTTTCAATTACTAATTATCACTAATTATCGACAAAAATATGATTTTCTTCAGAAAATGATTATCTCCGCTTCAAAATTCTGTTCTGTTTGATGCAAACATAACATCAAAATTCTGTTATATTTGAGTCAAGCATTTGGAAACGAAATTCATTTAAATTTATTTTTTCAGTACTGAAAAGATCAGTTTCAATGAATTTCGTTTCTAAATGCTTGACGATATATCAACTTTGCATCAAACATAACAGAATTTGGAAGCGGGTATTATCATTTCCTGAAGAAAATCATATTTCTGTCCATAATCAGTTATAATAAGTAATCGAAAGTAAGTAGCATGAAAAAGCTACTGGTATGAAGTAGTTTCGTGGAATTAACAATTCTTGAAATATTACAGAAATTTCGAAAAATTAAAAAAAAAATCAAAATCTAAAAGTTGCAATAGAAAGATCAAATTCGAGAAGCATGTGTAAAATTGAAATAAAAAGAACTTTTTCAAGTAAACTTTTTTGATATTCGAACAAATAAGCCTACTTTCAGTGATTAATTTGAAAAAATGTAACTTTTGACATGTAGCGAAAGTCACGTGACCCCGATTGAGTAGGCCATTTTTCATCTTTTTTGAAGCAAAACTTAACGTCCAACTCGAATTCCAAAATAAGTCATTAATAAAAGTTTTTCCCATATGATGTCGACTTTATGAATGACACTGTATATCATTTCGTTATCAGATGACGGTCAAAATTCGCAGCCAGCTCTTGGACTATGAGAACGTTCTCAGAATCACTTTATGCTGTCTGGGTTCATCAGTACCAAAAATGAATTATTACTTTTGGGTGTATGATAAATTGACATTCATCATACAGGGCGTGGAAATGAATTCTGAATTGAGACTCTATCACGAATCTGCGATTAGAGGTCTATAAAAATCACAAGTTTCCATCGTTCAAGTTTGAACCCCCTGATTGGGTATGAAAGTGTTGAAAATGAATATTCTCAGATAAATTATGAACATACAAAAATGGATATATATTTATATAAAACAATACATTGAGAATTCGCATTCTCTATGTGATGAGAATATTTACTCTTTTTCAGTTAATTCAATAGAAAACAACTACTTTCCTGGCTATATGCCACGACGAACATTGAATTATATCTATTGAACACACACGATAAGAGTTTGAAAATAAAATATAAAAATTTCTGAAATTGGAATTTGCATTCTCCTTCAGACAAAAACATGTATATACACACATCATTCTGAATATTCAACAGAAAACAACTACTTTCCTGGCTATTTGCCACGTCGAACATTGAATTATATCTGATGAACATTCAAAAGGGAACATGAAAAATAAAGAATAAAATCCTCCGAAATTGAGAATTGATATTCTTCTTCAAATCGGATGAATAATATGATGAATAATGATCTAGAAATATGACTTACCAATATATTCAGCATTGAAATGAAAATTGGAATGTATAGGAGAAGTATACTGGCATGAACTCTGATCTTGATGAGCTTGAAAACGTCCAAAAAATAATCATTCATATCAGTGATATGGGAAATATTTCAATGCTGAATATATTGGTAAGTCATATTTCTAGATCATTATTCATCATATTATTCATCCGATTTGAAGAAGAATATCAATTCTCAATTTCGGAGGATTTTATTCTTTATTTTTCATGTTCCCTTTTGAATGTTCATCAGATATAATTCAATGTTCGACGTGGCAAATAGCCAGGAAAGTAGTTGTTTTCTGTTGAATATTCAGAATGATGTGTGTATATACATATTTTTGTCTGAAGGAGAATGCAAATTCTCAATTTCAGAAATTTTTATATTTTATTTTCAAACTCTTATCGTGTGTGTTCAATAGATATAATTCAATGTTCGTCGTGGCATATAGCCAGGAAAGTAGTTGTTTTCTATTGAATTAACTGAAAAAGAGTAAATATTCTCATCACATAGAGAATGCGAATTCTCAATGTATTGTTTTATATAAATATATATCCATTTTTGTATGTTCATAATTTATCTGAGAATATTCATTTTCAACATGAATTATTAGTAATGATACTTACTGAAATCGCGGCTCCCCTTGCAAAAAGAATGCTGCTATCAAAATGCAGACGATGGTCTACTATGGCTCTTTGTTGTAAATCAGTGGGGTAAAGAGATTTATCCTTGCCATATTTTGATACCAGATATGACATGATGGCATGACTATCGGCCAAAATGAAACCGTCATCATCAAGAACTGGAACTGTATGTTGAGGATTGATCTGAAAAAAATAATATAAATTGGTATGCATTCCGAATAAGTTCGATAAATTCTAGAATTTTTCAAAGTGAAGTTGAAATAAGTTTAAAATGGTCTTCTGTTCCATTCGTTACCATTTCTAAGTGTAAACAATAAAAAAATCTTCATTATTTAACGTTGGAACCCTGAAACTAGAATTATAGATTTATGATCATCATGTACACTCGTCTCCAACGAACATGTCGCGGTTGGACAGCATGAGCGTTTTTATTGTGTAGCGATGATCAAGGGAGCTGACACCGTCCACTTGCGACATGATCTTTGAAGACGAGTGTACCTATCACAATATATCGAACCGCTCTCTTTCAATTATTATGCCAATAGATTTATTACATCAATTAGATACGTACTAATATTGATAGATCGATATCCTATTCATATTAATAATCTCTCCCTTTACAGGGTGTTCCTGGAAATCGAAATTTAAGCACATAGTCTGGCTGGTAAATTTAAAAAATAAAAATCGACACTACAAAGAAAATATTTTGAAGAATTCATTTTTGCACTGTTCATTCACTGACCAAATTACATCCACGAAGATATCAGCAAACATTTCTTATTCTAAATAATTTAAATATTCTGGAGCGGCTTCGAACACTAAAATCCGAAATATCTCGAAAACGTCTTACTTTAGCGAATTTTCACTTGAAAATATTCAGAAATTAATTTTAATAAAACTATACTGAGAAAAAAGTTAGGGCTATTCTAAACCATAAGAAGTGCATTGGTAAGCGCCCCCTCAAATTAATGGCCACAGTGAAAACGTGCCCGTATTAGGGTTTCGCATCTCAAAAAATCCCCGGCTACCAATTTTTGAAGTGATATGTTCAAAAATGTTCATTCATCTTGGAAAATTCTATTTTTATTTTTCAACTTTACCACACGGTATCTCGCAAATGGAGCAATTTCGGACTGAGGTGAGTTGCTTCAAATCGGCTTATTTCGACCACAGGAAAACGTGTACAGACCTTTTAGGGACACCTTGTATATTAACGCGTAACAAGCTCTCCAAATATATACGGCCCCCTGTACAATGACAAGTACCGTAGTACTATAATATCCGGTTTGGACGACAAAAAAGTATTATTTGTTCCAAAGATTGGATTCTATAATAATTATATTATATCGTTCTCATCAAAACTGAATCATTGTGGAGCAGTCCAGATCAATTTCTATTTATTTCATTGTAGTTGCCAAGGAAGAACTATGTCTTTGTTATTTTTCACGTTCGAATAATTATTATAACACCTCTGAGTATACCGCTGGGTATACCCTATATAATACCTTTACAGCGCGAACCAGGTCATAAGATGCTAATGAGGGAGACAGTTCGTTTCTAGGCAATGATAGTACATGTGCTTAGACAAAAATATTCCAATTCGCCTAAGAGTCGTTACCAATTTATTGGGCCGCACTGTACATATTATTTTTTTTACCTTGAGATATTCCGGCTTGAGATGTTCTCCCGAAAACAAATCGACGTTTTTGAGATTGAGATCCACTCCTATGGCCTTGGCACATATAGTAACAGATCTGACAGCGGGACTGGCGGGGATCATGTAAAGAGTCGGCCCCATCTTTGTTAAATAATCTCGAGTACTTACTTACTTACTTACTTCAATGTAACCGACAAACTACTCTCACGAGTATCGACTAATGTACTGACGGACGAGATTTTATCAGTTATCAGTCATCGTTTGCTGATGATTATATAACTCAGTATATTCCAGTTGAAAATGTTTGACCTTGTTTTTCATTGGTCTAGACGCTAGGGAAATTTACACGCACGAGTTCGTTTTGCACGAGCTTCCCTCCAAGACCAATCAGAACGATGGCGGTAAATTAGAATTTGAATCTTGAAGAAATAGAACATTCAAAGAGCGAATCACTATTAGACTCAACAGTAAAAGCATCCACATTATCCACAGTATGTTTTTCAAATAAACACTTCCAAAAATAAAAAAAAGTAGGTACGCGATAAGAAGAAGTATATTTATCTACCAACTTTGTCCTCACGTGTCAGTGGCGCGATGTAGTGGGCAATAAAAGCAAAGATTGGGTAGATATCAAAAGATGAAAAAAAGAATCATTAAAAAAATGCTTGAATGAAGTGTAACTTTTTCTGAAAATCGCTTGATTGCAATGGAACAATAATTATGATAATGACAGAACATTATGATTTCATCAACAAAGTGTAAGCACAATTAATTGAGAAATATGACCTTGCCAGAACCATATTGCTGAATCATAATAGCTATAATTGGTTCGTACAGGTAGGTATAGGTATATGAGTTATATTACTATTCCGTGACTACTGCGATGACAAGCAATTATTTTTCACAACCTCAGATATGAATGTCATGTTTACCAGTACCTTACCTATACAAACAAATCAATCTTGATAATTCTACAAAATGAAACAATGATTCTGATATCTGTGGTACTAAGGCAGAACCCAAAATGTCATAAAATATCGAATTCTCGTTTTTAATGCCAATATATGCAGTTTAGTGCGAAGAATATGATGGATATGATGGCAAAACACGATATTTATCTGAAGCTCTAACAGCTTGTAGGTTAATTCAATAAAATTCGGATATGTTCCTTATACAATAAGTGGTCGAAGGCAAAACCTACATCAGACATATTGGGTTCTGGCTGCGTCGGATAATAGCATAAAAATTGTGAATCCCAGTATGTCTGGCTCATCGGACCATGAAAGATCAAAAAAGACTGCTGAAGTACCCATCATGCTGCCCGAAGACTGGTTTCGGAGGGTAGAACAGTGAATTAGCTACAAAGGAAATAGATTAGTTATGAGAAACTCTCTGAAGTAATCCAATTCAAAACTCCACTCAATGATGAGAATTTTAGAGTGATCGATTTTAAAGGAGCAATTCACCGATCCTCTAATTGACGAAATCTTTTCTTCCGCTGATTTAATCTGAGTGCCACAGTTTCTACTTGAGCCTGAAAATCAGTACCAGAATAGCAGAATTGCTAGAAGAACATTCCAAGGAAAGCGAATTACGTTTTTTTGATTTCAATTCTTTTTGCTACTATAAAACTGCTTTTGCTTGTTTTCTCATGTACTTCCAAGGATATTATTCAAATTTGAAATGGTTAGTCCTTGAACCCTAGAGGGTATGCAAATACTATACTATAGTCAGACTCACCTTCATTCACAGAAATGTCTCATTGCAATAAGAAAAATGACAACAAGACAAGGCACCAATTAGTTCAATCGAAGGCCAGAAAAGGTCAAAGAGGGGAAAGGTAGAGAAAAAACATAAAATTTCCTATACAAAAAGCTCCCAATCCCTAGTTGTATCTCTGAAACTATTGATCCTAGACGAAATGTGAATTGGACTCATTTTATAGAGAATTTTATGCTGTTCAGTTTTGTATATTTTCATTTTTTCGCTTGAGACCGCAATTTTTGAATTAGTCAAGAATTACGTGGAAAATTACCTTCCTACTACCGTCATTGTAACGATATGTCAATTTGCTGAATGGAACTGAGGAAGACAAAACACGATATGTCATATTAATACAAATAAATTCATTATCTGGAAGAATTTTGCACTGTCCTGCTACAAGAGAAGAAGGTATTTGTTATGAAACACTTTATTCGGTGCATTAACCTGAATGGAATCCAAATTTCAGTGATCCCGCGTATTTTAATAATCGTTTCCTGAAAAATCCGCTTTTTGAACATATCGGCTTTTGCCTTAGTACCAAGGACATATCAGTGATTGAAGTGATTCTATCTGGCGATTCTACATTTTTCATGATGAGAATTGCTTGTACATCACTTCATCAGTCACGTTCATCACTATACCATACATACCTATCACAGCTTCGTGTCTAGTCTAGCGAACAAGTCTCCTAGAATCGAAGAACAGTTTCTGGTTGACCAACCAGAGCTCCCTTCATCCTTTTACAGTATACTTTTTGAATTCTCAATCAGGTAGATCTAATGGGGTGGCTGCCCCACAGACATGCTTTCTTATACTGAAATGTGTTAACACAAATAATATACAGGGTGGTATTGAAATAAATGCAAGCCTTGAGTAAGCTCGACGTATACTATCGAGTGGCACCAATAAAAAAAATTTAGGGATCAAAATGAAATTTGAGGTTAGACCCCTTTCACCACCCAAAGTTCCACACTGTAGCAATTCTGACGTCACCTCTGTTCAAATTTTCATGCAGAATGCACAATCACGCGGATTTCAATCATTCAAATTGTTTCAAAGTGGCATACTTGATTTTTTTCTCGTTTTATGTTCAATTTTCGGGATGAAATTTCTTGTTAATCAAAAGAGTTAGGGAAAGTCTAATATCATGGGAATATTCGTTAGACTGTAATATATCCATGTGCTGATTATATGTACTTATTTCAAAAACACTTTGGTTATTTTTTTATGAATCGTATCAGCAGTGAATTCATTGATGTTGATAGCAACATGTTATTTCGAGAGTTGTACAAACACGATATAAAGAAAGGTAAATACCTAACTATTCTTGCTCAATGAACAAGCAAGGTAGAAAATATTCTAAAATGTTATTCAGCTTTATTATCGTTATCGACTCTTGACTAGCACTTGATACCCATTAGCGATCCAATAAAAACTCAATTTCTACTAGTGAATTGGCTATAGATAATAAAATGATGATCTATTAAAAATTAGGTTTTGTTTGTGTTTGTGCACGGAGTTGCTATAGGCAAAGATAAGAAATCTAATCAATATAGGTACATTTTCATCGTTTTTTATATATTACCTAAATACGACGTTAAGATTGGGGACGAATCTCAAACCTATAGACGATATATACCTACAGCTAGGGGGCCTCTACTTTCAAAGGACTATAAAGCACCCTAAGGAAGCAATTTCAGACACATGTTTACAGAAACGTTGCTCCTCATTTTTATCTGTATAGAATTACCTCCTGGAGCATTCAAACGTAATTCTGGCACTCCCTGTATATCTAAAGAATATACAAAACTCACGATTAAGTTGAATTTTGGAAGATGCATATTTTTTCAATAACTATATTGTAATGTTTGTGGAACCATGTGAGACGATCCATCTTACAATAATAATTGCGGTCCCCATTTAACTTTATTATCTTTTTCTAAAACATTTTTCAATAATCTAAATGTGAACATAACTTTTTTCCTTCAGAACAGGTGAGTTATTTTGACCTATCGTTGTTGAGGGGTTTGTCTGACATTATTCTCTGTTTTTCTCTCACTTTAGTACTCCTATGTAACAATAACGCTGATGATGAAGCTTGAAAGCTTCGAAACATGTCCTTGTAAGTTTGCTTACAATAAAGTATAGTTTTGGTGGAGTCGAATGTAAGAATTTTGTCCTGTCTTATAATAGCTCAAGTCATTGCTGTTCAGTTTCTTCTTCTTCGCAGTCATTATTCGAAAAACTCTCGTGGCTGTCACCGCTGAGGCCGATTGTGATTCGTTACTTCAGGATCGAACGTGCTAACAAATTCGAATTTACCGCCATATGAGCTCGAATCGCTTTAATTGGCCTTGGACGGAAGTTTGGGCGAAACGAACGATCTGTGTCAACTCGCCTATCATCTGAACCAATGGCAAACGAGATGAAACACTCCCTCACGTTCCGCTTTATTCTTAACTGAAATGTACCGAGAGTTATTTATTCAGCGTCACGTCAAGTCTGATTTTTTTCGTCGGCACTAACTCACTTATCGTCACTTGTGAGAGTCGTGTGTTGGTTTATTTAGGTACTCGAGATAAAATATACAATTATCCAACAAAGATGGGGCGAAATCTTTACATGGTCCCCGCTAGTCCTCCTGTCAGAGCTGTCAATATGTGTGCTAAAGCCATAGGGTTGGACCTGAATCCCATAAAAGTCGGTTTGTTATCGGGAGAACAATTCAAACCGGAATATCTGAAGGTAAAACAAGATGTACACTCGTCTTCAGCGAACATGTCGCGGTAGGACGATATGAGCGCTCATGGGAGCTGACACCGTCCATGTGCGACATGATCTCTGAAGCCGAGTGTACCTACGCTAGGCAATTATCATAATAAAAAGTGCAAATCATTCGCCACATAATACCTACCAGGGTGTTTGAGCATGGAAATATAAAAAGTCGGTTGAAATAGTGAAAAACAACTAATTTTTGAACTATAATTAGGGCTAATAAATGATCTGAATAATATATTTCAATCTATATATCCACTTGAAATTTTAGCAGTGATCGCTGATGAGTTTAGGAGGGCAAAGTCTAAAAAGAATATTGATGGATCTATCGTCTGCACTTTTCGAAATATTGCTAATTTTTCAACAGAAAACCGATCATTTTAACCATTTTGACCAAGATTTTGTCATAATAACCTTGTCATATACAGGGTGAGTCATAACTATTAGGACATAGGATAAGGGCGGATTGTTTTGACCACAATAGAGAGCCTTAGGACCAGAATGCCTCAATAAAATATTGCTGTGGAAAAAGATACAGGTTGTTTCAATCGAAAAAGTATTACTCTATAAACTCGCACCAAAATCCATTCACTGACAATAAGGAATGTAATTCACCAGCAATAATTATCTGATAGTCCAAAGCACACTCTAGAAAAGCCGATCTCACTGTGCCCAACATAAGCTTGTCAGGAGTAACCATACCTTTGAAGACATCCATTTCGATGCTTGGTATTACTATATATCAGCACTTTCTTGGGAAAATCACGTGAGATTAATAATTGCTAAAAGTGCATCCCAAAAACTTGGTTTTCTGTTTCGTGCCAGGAGCTATTTCACTTCCAGTCAGCTGCTTATGATCTATAAGGCACAGATTCGACCTGTCCTGGAATACTGTTTCCATATTCGGAGTGCAGCACCCAAACATACCCTGAAACTGTTTTGGATTCTGTCCAAAAAAGGACAATTCGTATCGTGGGTGATGCCTCGCTCACAAACTCACTCACTTCTCTGGAACACCGTAGAAAAGTTGGCGATCTGGCTCTATTTTTATAGATATTTTCAAGGACGATGCTTTTCTGAAATATCAACAATTGTTCCTCCCTTATAGCAGTCCCCGCGAGATTGACCCGTCGAGTTGAGGCTTCGCACTCCTTCGTGGTCACTTTGGAGACCTGTAGAACATCTCTTTCCAAAGACTCGTTCATCCAACGAATAGCGAGTTTCTAGAACACATTGCCAAGGGAGGTGTTCCCAGAGGCATATAACCTCCAGAAATTCAAGAAGAACACCAATTCCTACCTTAATTCCCTTGGTTCTCACGATGTTCTCTAAACATTACAGGATATCCCTTCTCGTGGGAACCAGAACATTAAAAAATATAGTTGGGGATCAGCTGATAGGTCATTTAGGTCACCTCCAATCTGGTCTTGCAAACGTTGACAAGAATTCACCTCTGTAGCATTGACTTTTTCCTTAAGATACAACCAAACTGTGTAATCCATGTTTTCAGTCAAATTTATTTCAATGGTATTCTTATGATTAATTGTTTAACCAATAAGTTCAGAATCGAAAATGTATCGTGGTTTTCGGTTTTCTATAAAAAGAGGATACTTTTTCATGATACTTTATCTAATACGTAGCTCTATCATACCACCTAAGGGTACCTTTTTGGTGTTAAATGGATTCATGTTCAAGCTCACATTAAATTTGGATTGAGAAATCTAACCTCCAAAAAGTTATGTTTAAATCTACTGTGTACGCACCGCGTGTATCTTGTGCCCTCTATGAGTGTAAAATATAAAAATGAATTCATGCGAATTGCCAGCTCCCATAACGCATCCATACGATTAAGTTTCATAATAATGTAGCTTACGACATATATCTTATACATTTTTCTAGATTAATCCTCAACATACAGTTCCACTTCTTGATGATAATGGTTTCATTTTGGCCGATAGTCACGCCATCATGTCATATCTGGTATCAAAATATGGCAAGGATAAATCTCTTTACCCCACTGATTTACAACAAAGGGCCATAGTAGACCATCGATTGCATTTTGATAGTAGCTATCTTTTCACAAGGGGATCCCTAATTATGGTGAGTATTGCTCATTTTTTATTCTGATTAATTAGACAAGACAAGACTTGCATCCGATGGCCATTGTTTTGTCTGTATGTCCTTTATACATAGAATCGTAAACGGCTTGACCGATTTCACAAATTCTTTTTTTTTTTTTATTGCTTTATTTAGTGCGAGGATAGCTCCTGCCTACTAACTACCTAACCATTGTCGTTCTGGATGACAACCTAGTTAGGTAGTTAGTAGGCAGGAGTAGTATTATACCTCCTCGCACTAGGTCGCCTACTAGGTTTTCATTTAGATCGACAATGGTCAGACACAATAATTGTTCTACCATCTGTTAATCGAGAGAATGAACTTGAAACATTCAAATGTTCTTGCATAGTTATCAACAACTTACTCCATTTATATCTCTGGTTGATGTTGTTATTGATGAAATTTTTTTAATAAAACAGTAAAAATGAATTTTTTGAATTGACTCGGTGGTTTTCTTCTAATACATGGTTGGCTCATGTTGAATTTGTTTTCTTTTTCAAAAAATTCATCTTATGTTCATGATTGCGCTGATTGAACGTACGACCTGTCTGACCAATATATACCTTAGGACAAACTCAACTGTGGATCTTGTCCTAAGGTATCCATGGAAAAAATGAATACCAATTCATTGCATAAATTTGTGCCAAAAAATTCCTTCACAAACTGGGGTGAAAATAAAACTATGCATTTCCGGACTCACGTATATATATGCAGAGTCACCCCCATGATTTTTTGCGCATAATTTCCGGACACCGTGTATATCGTTCATTTCAGAGGAGCCTACTTCTTGACGGCGCCAAGGAAATTGATCAAAAACTCCTGGACAGCCTTTCTGAAGCCATCCAAATGGCCGAGAAATTCCTTCAGAATACCAAGTATGTGGCCGGCGATCAGATGACCATTGCAGACTACAGTTTCGTGACCAGCATCACCTCCTGGACACCGTTTGTGCCGCTCACAGAAGAGCAATTTCCCAAGATCACGGCTTGGTTGAAGAAAATGCAGCAGTTGCCATACTACAGTGAGAACCAAATTGGGTTGGATGAGTTCCTGCAGGTTTTGAAAACGAATGCCAAAGCCAAAATAAACATATAACATGAACAATAAATGCATCAGCGTAACCACCTAAAGTCTCTATATTATACACACCCAGACCCCACACAGCACCAATGTTCAATGTACGTACAATGTACAGGGTGGGCCAAATCGGACACTTTTCAAGGTCCTATTCTAGAACCAGATGGAAGAAAACTGATGTCGGTGCCTGAGAGTCGATTCCCCCATGAAAAACACAATGGTGAAATCCGCATATCGATATCTGCCTTCGTTTTTGAGTCATAAAGGTGTTTTTAGAAAATGGACATTTTCGAAAAGTGGCTATACAGATTCATTTTTCGGCCTTCCTATATCTAGTTCAAGAATAACTTGTTCTTCTTGAAAGAGAAAGTTCTATTTTGCAACTAAAAGTAGGTATACGGTGACTGATTTTAGTGCCTGAGGATCAATTTTCATGACAAACATCACCAATTTTGAAAATGTTTTCATGAAAACGAAGAATTCTTGAGAAAAAAAAAAGAGTTTTGACCACTTTTCAAAAATTTGCATTTCTGAAAAACACCTTATTGTGACTTTGAAATGAAGATAGATATCGACATGCGGTTTTCGAGAAAAGGAGTCTTCCTTTAAAAGTGACCAATTTGGCCCACCCTGTACGTCCACTTTGGATCGTAAGGACGTCCAGTGGACGTACTTGAATGGTCAGGCCAATGACGGCTAAATATCTTAACTGTCTGACGGGTTATCTTCAGACAGTCTAGATATTTAGCCGTAGGCGATCTAGTACGCGAGGAGGTATTATAGCTCTTGCCTACTAACTACCTAACTAGGTTTGTCATCTAGAACGATAATGGTCAGGACCTTCCGCTCGTTAAATTTCACTCTGCTGAATTCAAGGAAAGATTCATCGCACATCTTTATATTTCAATGCGGCCACGTTGGTAGCACTGAAGAAAAAGATGGAAGAGGAGATAACTTTTCTCTCTCGTTTAAGGTAGAAAAGAGAGGCCTCTTCCTTGGCCTCTTCCTACTTCTTAGGATAAGTATGATATCTTATTCTCCGTCAATGTAAGAATTGGTGGTAGAGTTCCACACTGCGAGTAAATAAACGTAATTCTGCACAAGTCCATCCATAACTTGAGGTTTCCCATTTGTTCACATAATACAACATAATTTCTTCCGAATCTTCTCGATGAAACATGTTATGGCTTTCAGGGATATCCGGCAGAACTTTGGAATTTTTGACTTTGACATTGACATCACTAAGGTAAGACAAGGTAAGACGATGAAATGTCAGCAATTAGCCTCCATGGCCCATTGTTGATGTTAGCATAAAATATTTTCACGTGGCAACGCTGGCTTTAACAAAAGTGAAGTGACATGACAGTTGACAAGAGACACGAGTGACAAGTTACTCGAGAACTCGAGTCATTTCGTCGTTTGACGTCATAAAATTTCTAAATTAGTTTATTGTAGACCCAAAACCTGGAAATTCATTTATTTCGTTTTCTATTCATATTTATGGTGATATAATTACATTTAATTATGCCTAGACCCTTTTAGACAAATAGCTGATTATGATGAAATCAATTGGTGACCTGTTTCAACGACGTATTTAGCCTAGAAAGATATCCGTAAGGAAGATGAACCTATGGCCTATCCCTCCAATTCAATATTTTCTTCAATTCAAATAGGGGCAGCATTAATATATTGATATCGTTTACGTAATCCCTATTATACTATTTTAATTTTAAAATTCGTGATTTCATATTGTGTAGGTGTCAAAGGTGCATGTGTTAATTTTAGATTGAATTATTATACTTCTACCTACTTGAAATCATTGTGAAGTTGAATCATGAGGGATATGAATGCAACTTGATATATAATCCGGTTTTTGTTGCAGATTTCTAAATAATAGGAAGTTTACCTTAAACAGGTTTCAGGGTAGTTTGTTTTTTGGCAAGTAAGTAGTTTTCATATTACCTACCATTGAAATGTTTTGTTTCATTTCCCTAAAGTAGGTATACTAATGCTAGGCAAATTCTCATGGTTTTTGCTTGTATCAGGGGCTAACCCTACGGAATTTTGTACCTAGTTAGCATGCTTGTTACTAGAGATTTCATGAGCTAAATTTACAAATTATATTCATTGAACTTGTTATTTTTTTGGGTATTGCTATGAAGTGATCATTTTAATTTTCGAATTTTTTTATCAATCCTTTGTTTGGAAATTTGCCAATGTTGCATGCATCATAAATTCAGCTATGAATCACTTATTTATCATCATAAACTTTGCACATAATCATAATGTATTGCTCTGAATCATTCTCATAGAATTTCCACCTTTTGTTCATACTAACAATTTTTATTTTTGTTTGTTCTAGGTTCAAAATGGCTGTCAAACAAAAAGTAGTAGAATGTGTGCCCCCAACCAAAGAAGCCCGCCTCCAAATGATCCTCAGAGCCCTACAGAGCATCTCTGCACAAGATGGCCTCCAAGACAAAATATGGGTCCACATAGTCAAAAGTTTAGGCACAGTCCCTGTACCCACAGATGCCCTAGCCTACATGAAATTCATAGAGGACATACAAGAAGTGCAGAACATCTTAGCCAAAGAGTGTTCAGACCAGAAAAGGATTTTCATAGCTCTGAAGGCACTGTATGATGAGATATCCAACCCTGATCCCAATAAGCAACTGTCTCCTGCTATGTCTATAGTTTTGCAACTGATAGATGAAAGTAATATACCCAATGCTGTCAAGTACATCCTCAATGCTGGATATCCAGATCAGAACCTAGAAAGAGCTCTGTTCACTCTATGCACCTGGCTGATCAAGTGTGCTTGGGCTGGAAATTTGGGACCCTTGGTGTTGGCCTTCATGAAAGGTTTGGAAGTGGACCAGCACCATGATATCCTAGTGGAAGTAACTTTGGCTACCATAGAGCCTCTGTTCAAGCTTGTGATGTTCCCAAAGATACGTGAAAGTGTGGGACCTGTCATTCTTTACATGCTCTCCAAAAGCCAGCATAACCCACAAGTTTTCCACAAAATAGTGCCCTTAGCTAAGACAGTTTGTGAGAAGCTGGATAAGGAGCGCAGTGGGTCTAGTTTGAAGTTCCTGCAAGACATTGTTGATCTTTTTATAGCTCTGATGGAGCACTTTCCTGGTTATCCTGAGCTCTACGAACCTCTGAATGAAGTTTTGCAGCCTTACTGTGCGAATTCTGACTACAAGCAGGTGTTAGGGTGCAAATCGTGGAGTGACAGCAGCAGTTCCAACATAGCCAGCAAATTTTCTGTTGAAAAAGTGGGTTTGAACAATTTGGGAAACACTTGCTACATGAACAGTGTGATTCAGGCTTTGTTTATGACGAAAACTTTCAGAAATGAAGTGCTGTTTTTCAACAGGAATATGTCCCAGTTGTTTTCGAAATTGCAGGAGTTGTTTGTGCTGCTGCAGTTTTCCAAGAGGTCTTCTCTGTCCCCACATGACATTTTGAATTTGTCTAGGCCTCCTGGGTTCTTGTTGGGACACCAGCATGACAGTTCTGAGTTTTTAGGGTATTTGCTGGACACTTTGCATGAGCAAGAGAAGAATTTCTGTAGTGGGGAAAATTCAGAAGGTGAGTTTCAGTTTTCTCAATTATAGAAAATTCTTATAACCCTGCATCAATATGTATGCCACTGAATTGCATTTTTTTATTCTACCCTATTTGTAAACAAAATGAATTTAATTTATTCATTCATTTATTGAATCAAGTAAAATCTACATTTTGTCATAAAATTTCATATTGTATCTCCTTCACATAGGTTTGTGACATGTGTGTGAAAGAGATGCATTATTTAGAATAGAATAGAATAGAATTTTATTTTGTCCACTGAATGTCACAATACAGGTAAGTACAATACATTATGGGACACGTCACAAACAGATGAGCTAGTTCACTTTTTGGTACAATAGGAATAAAATTAAATAAAATCAGGACTCACAATGTCACATTCTTTAAAAATAATTTCATCATTTGCTAATTAAAATAACAGATCTTATTCTGTACAGTGTGGTCTAGCATATAATGCAAATTAGACTACCTACTACTACTCTCATGATTTGTAATGTGTAGATCTCAGTCAGAGGTATCATTCAGAAATTCCTGCAGTGAGTAATAGCATTTCTGTACCAAAAAACTCTTGAGATATTTCTTGAGCAATTTTGTTTCACATTCTCTGAACTCCTTCATTGTGCAAATTTTATTGTAGCATTGGATTCCCATTTAATTGGGATTTTCCTGTCCAATTGATAATCTGGAGAATCCTAAATTGATTTTGTCCTTCTGTTGGGTATTATGACTGTGTACCTCCTTTCTAGTCTTCAAAGTGCTCTGTTTATTAATAATGTGAACAATTATAAAATATTGAAAAAGAATATTCTCAGATGAATTATGAACATACAAAAATGGATATATATATTGATATAAACCAAAACATTGAGAATTCAGAATTTCTTTCCAAGCCCTGTATGATGAATGTCAATTTACCATACACCCAAAAGCAATTATAAAATTGTTTTTCCACAATATAAATACATGAATACACAATAATGAGAATAAATTAAAATAAAGAAAAATAGAGTTGATTAAAAAAGATCATCACATGTTCTATAAGTCAACTTTCAACTTCTTTTTTGAAAGTTATGATATTTAGACATTTTAATTTTGATGGTATTTTATTATAAATTTTCCATTCAATAAAACTAGAATGATTTTCTAAAATTTTAAGTTTATGTTTTTCAAGTCCTACATTGTTGATTTTGTTTCTTGTACCATAACTAGTATTGATTAAATTGGATATTGCTGGATTCTTTTTAATCAACATTACTGATGCCTTATAGTATAATTGCCTAACATTCAATACATTATTTTCTGAAAATGATGATGCTGATGGATAATCTAATGATTTAGGGGATATTATTTTCAAAACATATTTTTGAATAAATAATCAAGGTTTTAGATGAGTTTCATACATACCACCCTATCCAATTATTCCATATGATAATATAGATTGGAAGAGAGTGTGACAAAACATGATTATTAAACTTCAGAAATTAATAAAACTACTATTTTTTATTCTCTTCATCACAAAATATAACTAAATCCACAATATTGATTTCTTGAGATATCAAAGAGATTTTTCCTACGAACGTGCGCAAAGTAATACTTTTCCGCCCTCAACTACCCAAAAATCTCACTGGTATGGAACATTTATATTCATTTTTGCTGTAGACTATTGTATGTACTGACCTGATCTGCAATCAATTTGAAAAATGCCAACAATTGTTCTTTTATTATAAATATTAGGAACAAATGATTTAATTTTCTATCATTATATTTTATTGATATGTAATTGTTTGTTGTTTAGCTATTTCTATCAAGTTTAACTAAAAATGATTCAATAAATTGTAATTTAAGTTGAATTTTTTTTATTTTCGTTGTTATCTGATATGAAGCTCATAGGGAAAATGTGATTTTCTATCATTATATTTTATTGTTATTTGTGATTGTTGTATTGTAACTGTATTTGCGTGCGGAAAAGTAATACTTTGCGCACTTGTTAGGAAAATAACTATTTTGATTTTAGCATTTTTCATTTCTAAACCTCCCAGAATTCTATTTTCACACCCCTGTAATTTAATAAACATGGTGGAGGATAAGTGAAACAAATGCTACAAAATCAGACAACTGTCAGATAATGTTCAGGAATCTATTTAATATCTATTTCAAGAAAAAAATCTTCCAAAACTTCATTTCCTCAGCTCTAATTTGGAAATCGAATTATTTTGCTGAGAGAGTGGAAGAAAATCTCTTCATTGGAATTCCCGGAAATTCCAATTTTTTTGCTTGGGATTGGAGCGTTGTTCGACATTTTTCAAGGTTAACGACGAAATGATGTGCTGATTGGGCCTGTCGAGTTCGTCTGACTGGTATTGCTAGTGATGGTATTATAGCAGAGATCTCTGAGGAATTCGAGTTTGGTTGCCTTTAGAAAATTAGACAAAAAAATTCTTTTTTTTTTTATTTCCAGGCAACAAAATTCTCATTGTAATTTCAAGTTTACTCGGACAAAAAAAGCTCTTTTGAAAAAATGGATGATTAACATTTGAACATAAAATTTATTTAGAGATTTTTTTCTATCTCATTTTTTTTTCAGATGAGGGGGCGGTTGCCCTGTCCCCCACAGTGGTCCAGCAATCCTTCGGCGGCCGCGCTGTCACCGTGTCCAGGTGCGGCGAATGCGGCACCAAATCGGAACGCGCGGACGAATTCCGCGAGCTGCAGCTCTCCTTTCCCAACCACTCCGACGACCAATCGGTGCAAGGACTGCTCGACTACTATCTGCAGCCCGAGAAGCTGTCCGGCGACAACCAGTACCATTGCGACGTATGCGGCCGATTGACGGACGGCGAGCGGATAGCGAGGGTGGTGGAACCGCCGGCGAGGCTGATTTTGACTTTGAAACACTTCAGGTTGGTGGGAATGGGGTTTTGCGATTTTTTGGGATTTTTTCGATTTTCGACCCCTTTAGAAAAAAATTTGGTACGCCACTGGAATTGGTGGTTCCTGCAAAATCTGACATTTTTCAATCATAAACCCCTTTAAAATCGAAGTTGGTGCGCCTCTGAAGTCATGATTTCGACATTGACACAATTCAGATCAGTGGGGATATGCTTTTGCAGGTTGGTGGAACCGCCGGCGAGGCTGATTTTGACTTTGAAACACTTCAGGTTGGTGGAAATGGGGTTTTTCGATTTTTTGGGGTTTTTTAGATTTTCGACCCCTTTAGAAAAAAAATTGTACGCCACTGAAATTGGCGTTTTCTTCGGAAATCTGAAATATTTGAATTACAAACCCCATTAAAATTGAAGTTGGTGCGCCTCTGGTGTCATGATTTTGACATTGACACAATTCAGATCAGTGGGGATTGCCATTTTTTCCTATTTTGATCCCCTTAGAAATAAAATTCGACACGTCCCTATAATCGAGGTAATTCAAAAAATCGGTCGTTTTTCAATCACAAACCCCCCAAAAATGAAATGTGGTGCGCCCCTGAAGTCGTGTCATCCAGACCAATCGGTGCAAGGACTGCTTGACTACTATCTGCAGCCCGAGAAGCTGTCCGGCGACAACCAGTATCATTGCGACGTATGCGGCCGATTGACGGACGGCGAGAGGATAGCGAGGGTGGTGGAACCGCCGGCGAGGCTGATTTTGACTTTGAAACACTTCAGGTTGGTGGGAATGGGGTTTTTCGATTTTTTTGGATTTTTTCGATCTTCGACCCCTCTAGAAAAAAATTTGGTACGCCACTGGAATTGGTGGTTTCTTCAGAAATCTGACATTTTTCAATCATATTCATATAAAATTGAAGTTTGTGCGTCTCTGGAGTCATGACATTGACACAATACAGATCAGTGGGGATATGCTTTTGCCATTTTTTCCTATTTTGATCCCCTTAGAAATTTAATTCGACACGCCCCTATAATCGGTTGTTTTTCAATTACAAACCCCCCAAAAATGAAATGTGGTGCGCCCCTGAAGTCGTGTTATCCAGACCAATCGGTGCAAGTGCTGCTGGACTACTATCTGCTATCTGCAGCACGAGAAACTGTCTGGCGACAACCAGTACCATTGTGTGTTGGAAACGCGGGCGAGGCTGATTTTGACCTTGAAACACTTCGGATTGGTGTGGATGGGCTTTTGCGATTTTCGGGATTTTTTTTTCGATTTTCGACCCACTTGAAAAAAAAATGGCACGCCACTGGGATTGGTGTTTTTTTTTAGTAGAACCAACAGTAACTGAGCAAAATATAAACAATCACCCTGTACACACACCCGATCGCATGCAGAGTGCAAAATCACCTCTCGCATTCCAGATACGACCCGACCTCCCATCAACGCACCAAACTCGCCCAACCCGTCAAACTCGACGAGCATCTGCGCCTCGACGCGCACCGCTACGACCTCTACTCGGCCGTCGTCCACTGCGGCTCTAGCGTCGACTCCGGCCATTACTACACCTTCGCCAAGGACACCGCCAGCTGGTTCAAATTCAACGACGGTTACGTCACCAGAAGCACCCCCGACGACCTTGGACGCTTGAAGTTCCCGGAAACGGCGTACATTTTGTTCTACAGTCGGCAGGACGTGATCGAACCCGAGGATTTGCCGCCTGACTTGCTTCCTGCGCATGTGCAGTTTGTGCTGTCCAAGGACTTGAGTGCTTTCGAGGCGGAAAAGCGTCATCAGTCGCTGAAGCTTTACGGAGCTAAGCAGAATAGGGACGATGATCCTCCTCCTCCTGGTTGCGGTGGGGGTGGGTTTTCCTCCACCTCGGGGAATATGTTTGTGTGCTAGTCGGGCTACGATGCGCGAAAACTCTGGTGTGAATCTAGGAGGTGCTGTCTGTCGGAAACTTGTTGCTTGTCTGCCTGAATCTGTCTAGGGTCATGCTTTTCATTTGTCAAACGTCAAACTTGTGATTCGCTGGGTGATAAGGCAATAAACTGAGTTGTTGACAAACAGGGGAATGTTTATTGTTCTGAACTTAAACAAACATATCGGAGATAAGGAAACCAGTATTTCATACCAGAATTGAGTTGTTGTCATCTTCTTGATGATTTTACTAGTTTGGTATCTAAAAGTGTTTGGGAAATAGATTTGAGAAGAACCAGAACGACTAGAACGTGCTGAAGGTCGAAAACTTGTTGCGTGTCTGCTGTCAACCTGTCTAATATCATACTCCTCATTTGTCAGCTGTCTTGTCATTCGTCAGTTACTTGTTGATAGTCATCTTACTTTGTTCCATTCTCAAGAGACTTTGTTTCATTCTGTACTAGAACAAAGAGAATACAGAGAAACGCTTCTGAGAAGAACCAAGAAGGTACTAGAACGTATTGTCTGTATAAAACTATACCTGCTGTAACCTGTTTCAATGTCATACTTCGTCAATTTAAAGATGACAAAGTCGTGTGCAAATTATTCTCAAAGAAAAACCAGAGATTGTGAAACGGTCTCGAAAAGAACTAAGACGCATCTAAAAATAGCTTTACGGGACTAAACAGAATAGGGACGATGGTCCTAGTCCTCCTGGTTGTGGGGGTTGATTTTCCTCCACCTCTGGTGTGAATATAGAAGAAGCTGTCGTTTGGAAACTTGTTGCTTGTCTGTGTGATTCTGTCTAATGTCATGATTTTCATTTGTCAAATGTCAAACTTGTGATGTGCTGTGTTAAAAGGGAATAAAACGACTTGTTGACAAACATGAACAATGTGTTTTGTTCTGTACTAAAACGAAGCTACCAGAGATAAGGAAACCAGCATTTTGCACCAGAATTGAATTGTTCTCTTCTTGATTGTACTAGTTTGGTATCTCAAAGTGTTGATCTCCAAAAGTTCTGACCGGTTTCTGGAAAATAAAACTCGGAAGAAAAGTGGAAAACTTGATGCTAGTCTGCTGTCAACGTTTCCAACGGCATACTCGTCATTTTTCAGCGGTCATACTTGTCATTCGTCAGTTAATTGTTGATATTCATCTTATCTCACTCCATTCTCAAGTAACTTTGTTTTGTTCTGTACTAGAACAAAGAGAAACCAAAGAAACACTTCTGAGAAGAACCAACAAGGAACTAGAAGGTATTGTCTGTCTAAAACTCTGTCTGCTTCTGCTTTGACATCTTTCAATGTCATACTCCGTCAATTTAAAGATGACAGGATCGGGTGCATATTATTTATTGATTCATTGTCTTTATCACCCCCAAGAAACATATATGTTTGTAATAGGGATACATGAATACATATACAAAAATATTAATCCACTCAGGGGAAACAAATTCATACTTTTTCTCAAAATGAAAGTTTCAACATTTCAATTCTGAGTAATCAAATCCTGCCAAATATTTCACAATCAAATTGTCCTGATTAGGTATTTTTCAAGATATACTTTAAATCTTCTTACATTATGTAAATTTTTCAATCCATTCGGTAAAAAGTTGTATAAAATTATTCCATTACTTCGACTTGAATGTATTTGCTATCAAGTAATTCAATTGTCTAGTCCCATAACTATGATTGACTTCATTAAAAGCTAAGTAAATAAAAACCAGAAACGGTCACAAGAAGAAGCAAGACCTAGAACGTGATGTCCATCGAAAAAACGTGTTGCTTGTTTCTCTTTTGTGAACCTGTTGCTTGTCTCATGTCATAATTCCTGTTTGTCAGCTGTCATCTGTCTGCTACTTGTTGATAGTCATCTTTTTATCTTTCTATCTTCGAGGGGAACTGTGAAATCTGAATAGGACAGGTTGTGTGTAGGTTACCTACTTTGTTCTTCTCCGTGCTAGAAGAAAAGCCTTCTAGATGACACCTGTTGTTCTCGCCCTTCAACCTTTTTTTTTTTAATTTTCCATTCATTCACTCACAATTATTAGTACAGGATATTTTTATATTGTATGCTTTATTATTAACATGAATGAAGTGATTACAAGTTCGATGAAAAAGCATAACATTCATAACCTCGAACAAAAATATCAACGTCACTTGATTTGCTTTGCTTCTCCCCATCATCTAGAAAACGGTGGACAAACAACGAATTTTCGACAGATTCTGCAAATTTCTCCTATTACTAAAATTTTTTTCCGAGAAATCTAAAATTGTATACTGGAAGTTTTGGTTGTGACTTATTAGTACATACAATTGGTTATTTCATCAGAGTTTTCAGCATGTTTTGTGGTAATATGAGAGAAGCTGGCTGAATTAGACAAGGTGTAAATAAAGAAATGTCAATATAGGTATTGTATCAATAACTTGATTGATTTAGCTGTAGTTTATTCTTAATTATATTTATATTGAAAACAAACTTGAGGTTTCTTTGATTTTAGTAGGTACTTGGTGAATTTTTGTCCCAGTGATAAAAAAATAGTCATTAATTTTTCCTTTATATTTTCAGCCCATATGATGTAGGTAGGTAAATAAATCAACTTCAATATAATGTCTGACTATTTCAATGTTTCCTTCGAAACATTTGCTGAAATATCAGCAATCTCGAAATGGAGATAACTATAATAATGCTACATATTTTTCGATTATTCACAGTGTTGCCAACGCTGGAGACGGCAAAAAATCCCGCCGTAGACGAAATATCTTGGTTAGCCATGATATTGAAAGATTTCAATCCAGGTAGATGAAATTCCAAGTTTCTTCAGTCATTGTGCATCAAATCTAGACATTTTTGGTAAAGATAATCAAAATTTAGAATGCAAAACTTCATAGTTGAAAAATTTAAGCGAGCAACTATGTGGAAAAATTCAATAATCACAAAAAATAATCATTTCATAACAAAATCTTCTCTAAAACCATTAAAGAACATTATTTGTTTTGTCATTGGACTTTATAGAAGTTTTGATTGATGGCTAGAAAATATTCCAATTGTTGAGTAGCTAGACAGGTTAAAAATTGGCTTGAATATTCCAAGTGATATTATATACTTATATATTTTCATCTGGAAGAGAATGCAAATTCTCAACTTCAGAAGATTTTGTTTTTTCAAATTCTCATCGTGTGTGTTCAATAGATATAATTCAATGTTCGTCGTGACATATGGCCCGGAAAGTAGTTGTTTTATATGTTGAATATACCGAGAACGAATTTTTTTTTATCGGGTATCAATGAACAAGCCATGAAATGACCGAGTTGGCAACACTGAGATAGGAAATTAAAAACTTGTTATGATGGTATTCGTTACTTATTGTCATTTTTCATTGAGGTTATGTTTGAATAGTTATAAGCATCTCAGTTTGAATCATAGGATGTCATGAAACCTCACCACTTGCCATCTTTAATGTCATTGTTCTACTTCTTCAGATCGAAAACAATATACTTTGGAAATGATAATTCACCTAAGCAAAAGTGATGAAATTTACTCCATTCTCAAAAAAAATTTTATATAAGAGTAATGATTTTTACTACTTTCACTACTAGTTATAGTAGGTACCCTAATATTCTTATTGACTTTTTTTTTTCAAGATATTGTAGCATAATATTTTTCTAACGTAAATACTTTATCCCATCTCCACATTAATTTTGTTTTGCTTTTGCACATCTGACTTCTTTTGAAATAAAATTCTAAATAAATAAACAATTTTTTTTTTATGATTTCATATTCTCGGAACAATGTATTCCATCTTCAGTATGTATACCGACTGTTAGAAGAAGTAAACTATTCAAATTTATGGATTTCTTTTTGTGAAATATTTCGTTTTACCTTTATTCGGATAGGTAGGTACTTATTTTCCTAAATTTGTAGTATACAGGGTGAATCTGAAAGTGAGTTTTTTCATTTAACAGCGTATATATATCTCGCCAAAATAAGTTGTTTGGCCGAAAATAGTTTATGTCAAAATGTAAGATAACGGTTCACTTTGAAACAAAAATTAATGGATTGAAAATGTAAAAAGAGGCAATTAGATTAATTCTTCTGATGAAATAATGCAACTGTAGGGTATCTAATGCTGGACTATTAACGGTTTTTTTCGTTTTTTTTTTTTTTTTTGTGGAGAAAATGAAATGTTTTATAGTTGGAGTCTCCTTTAAATCTTTTAAATACCTCTTCTTCCGTTATCTTGAATATTGTATATTAGCATTTTTTTGACAAACAACTTATTTTGATGAGATTTTTAGTCTGTTAAACAAAACTCACTTTCAGATTCACCCTGTATATGATCATTCGAACTTAATAGGGTCCTGGATAATAATCTTCCTAATACACTGAGTAGCAACATATGTTTCAAACAAACCATAGTTTCAACGGTACAAGTGTCGAATTTGGTGAGATTCTTAGATCTAAAAATGTCGAAATTTTTTATTATTCCATACTCTCCCACTACTATAACGATCCCCCCTATATTTTATTCTCATTTTTAGGTTCTAGATTCAATTTACTCATAGTTTTTCAACGAATAACGTATTTTATTATTGTCAGATTTTAAATTTCAAATATCATTTCGTTTTTAGATTTCATGTCTAGAAATTCGGTGTGAACGAATTGTTATTTTCAACTGCAGGTTTTCTTCATTCTGAATATGTTGTCACCCAGTATATCTACTTTTTTGTTGTGATTATATTCACAATTTTATTTATTGGGTTTTGGATCACTGCTGTGTATATATTTATTTGTTGTGTTCGATGTTTTGAAAATTGAATTTTTAAATTTGTTAATAAAATTTATAAAATATCTCAAAAATATGTTTTTTCTGTGACGGGAAAAAAGTTTGGCATTTCATCTCTGTTGGCAGGTTATAAAATGTCACTTTTCATAAATTACTTTTTTCCCGTGGGAAAAAAGTGAGTACTTCTTTCCCGGATATATATCACATATATATACTCTGTTAATGGCTTTTGTTGTGCTATAGTTCTGAAATATGAGTCAATAATACCGTCTCCGAGAAAGAACTGCAAGTCCTTTTATCTTCCATTCGACTTCGCGGTTTCGTATATTACTAAACAACTACTGAATTCGCAATTTTTCGAAATCGAATCACAGAATTGAACTGACAGAAGTGACATCAGATATTTGATTACTTCAAAAGAATGATAAAGATGTCTATAAAACGCAGGTGTCCCTACTGTTAAAAACTTGAAATTTCACGTCGATAATTTTCAGATTTCGAAATAATGTAATAACTTCTCAATATTGATTCGTCCTTCCTTCTGTCACAGAAAAAAATAGTGTATTATACACGGGAAAAATATTAGATTTTAGCTCACGGTTTGTTGTCTCCCTCCGCTACGCGTCGGGAGACAACACAACCTGGAGCTAAAATCTACTACTTTTTTCCCTTGTATAATAAATAACTATTTCTTAGAAATTGGGTACCTGAATAAAAAAGCGTTTTTGTGAAAATAATTTATTAAAATGTTAACAAATCGATCGACATGGATCCATATAGCTGTTTAAAACATGAATTGATCACTCACTATACATTAGTCTAAGTGCAGTATTTAACAGAAATAAACTTTAGACTTTATCATTATACATACATTGTAATACACATACTAAAACCATGCTTTTATATACAGGAATACATAAAATGCATCGAAATATTATTGAAAAGTTCACCCATAACTTGCTTCAATACATTCATCTCAAACATTCACAATTAAATGTAGAATCCTTGCAAGCTGGACCGAAAAAATATATTTTCTGTATAGAATTTTCTGGTGAAGTGGCAATACATTTCAATTTTCATTAATAAAAGGGTAGGTACCTACCTATAGGGTCCCTTGATGTAAATTGACTTATTTGTCATCTTAACAGGGTACGGACAGATCCTCGTCTCCTCCCACTCTAAAATGTTTGAGAAACAGTTATATAGTTCCATCTTTATTCATTTAAAAGAGATAAACAATAGATTTCTGACATTTGTTGCTTTTTAGGTTATATTGAGGAGGACATTGGCGTATCATACGTAATTTCCACATGTAATTTCTTATTCAACTCTACATATCATATCGAAATGATGATGATAATTTTCGAGTTTTTGACTTTTCAACTCTAGCATAATCTTTGTGAGGCAGTGAGCAAATTTTTCTGAAAGTTTAATACGTTTTACCAAATGGGACTGTTCTTAGTCAGTACCTATCAATAAATGAATTTTGATTTCAGACTAAGCCTATGGTTGAAAAATGGTAAAAAAATGTATGTAGGTATTTGAACTAATGTGCTCATATGTCATGTGTGCTGTATATATTCCTGTTGGGAATCATTTTTGCAGTTTTTCACGAACACTTAATATTTCCTGAATGTAGGTATATTTTTTTTAATGGTAGGGCATATGCCTTTTCTTTCAATCCTCCGTTTTAATCAAAACTGTTTCTACTAAAATGCATTCAAAAACTTGTGAAGTGGATAATTATAGGCACAATGAGAAAGTATAATATGTGATTTCGTTTTAGTTTAACCTCAAAAATTTTGCTGATGTATTCACGAATTTTTCCCAATCGGTCACTTCACTTTCCATATTCTAAGTTCATTTGCATTTGATGGAAAGCTGACAAATTCAAATTTGTCATCCAACTCTGATTGATACAGCCTAACACAGCACATTTTACCATCCTTCCAAAACAGAATTGAATAATGTCGTATTGAGATCAAGTATGAAATTAAAATTCTGTACGATCTCTTTTAACGCCTATCAATGTGACGTGACAGCAATGTCATGTCAGGGACGCCAATACACGAAACCAAAGTCACTAGATGATTGAAAGAGAAAGGAGCTATGATCTGTCATCTGTCCGTACCCTGTTAGATGACAAATACGTCAGTTTGCATCAAGAGACCCTAGGTACCTATACCTAACATCTATCAAAAAGTGACATTCAATAACTCCTCAATTTTTTGACGGCTTGTGTGCTTATGGATATTATGGTTGATGTATTTTCATTCCATATTGTTGCAGTCACAAACTAAATTCAAATTGTCTATCGTTTATAAGTTCCGAGGTAGTTGTCACAGTTCGGGCATTTGTGTGAGACATCCATACATTTGTCTAGGCAGCAAGGTATGAGACAACAGCCCAAAAAGCACCTGAAACAATAAAAATATGTAATGGCGGGGTTGTATGTACAGTGTGTCCACTTCTTTGTGAAACTCAATATAGTTAAGGAGAAGATTTTATTTCAAAATATCTTCTCCTCAACCACCCTGTATCTCTTAAACCAGTTATATTTTTATGAGGTATGTTGGGCTGATCTTCATATTTGGGTGTTTATTATCTGTAGTTCAGAGATTTCCCATTCTTAATTTAATGAATAAAATTATTAAAATGTTATAAGTGGAAAATGAATCTCTTCATGAGCGAATAACACAAAAACCGTTGAAGCTAGACAGTGTGACAAAGAGTACATTTTTCATGTGAAATTGAACGAGCTTTCAGAAATTCCACTTATTTTGATCATCAATGAATTGACATAGAAGATATTCTGTAAATTATCTAAGTAACAGAGTGCCACTAGTGCCCTCTATGAGCAATCACAAAATAAGTTGCAAATTCATATTTCTCATGCCAGAAAACCTAAAATTACAAGATTCCATGTTGATGCTGTTGAAACTAACAAAGTTATTGTGAAATTTTGAAATAATATCTCCCCCTAGAAAACCCTGTATTTCCTACACCAGCAACATTCTCATCAGGCATATTGGGCTGAATCTCATTATTTTTGTGTTTACTATCTGTAGTTCAGAGATTTTCCATTCTTATTGAATCACCCTGTATATCTATGAAGTTTCCCAGCCAAAATGTCAAATTGAAATCTTATCCCATAGAGAATTTCACGCAGTATATCTCCGATGGTATTCGGAGTTTTCCATATTTCAAACAACTTTAAAATGATTCAACCGACCCTGTATATCTCTTACCGTTTACGAGATCCTAATGATGAGGCTCGAATTCCAGCGACCCTGTATATCGGTAGGTAAGTATCACTTTTCCAAATTATTTTCCATTAATTTTAGAGATGACTTTATGTTCTCATAATCATGTTTTTCTCTATAATTAGTTCTCAGTTTTCCTAATGGTTATGCCAAAATATTTTCCATGAATAATCAATACTGATGCATGGGAGTCATTAAGGTATCTACTAATTTCTTCATCATTATGATTAAAAATTCCCAAGCGGTTCGAGTAGCCTCTTGGAATAATAAGTATCCTCTCGCTAACATTGTTGCAGTATTTATACAACATATTATTACAACAAACAAACCTGACAAGTACCTACATTTGATGTATTAATGATCGCAATTCCATTGACGTATACATTGTTTGAAATGGTAGAGTACATGGTGAATTCTGGAAATAAATTAACTCATACAAAGATGTCGATTATATGTGTATATATTTAATTATTTTGGATTGGATATGATTGCACCCGGGGGGACCAAGAATGTTTTTAATACCGTATATAAACCTTCAATATAATAATATACCCTGAATTTTCTTCAGTTTGGTCCCTCATAGGACATTCTGAGTCGTCATTTTGACGGATAAATGTGACGTCTTATGGCTGTGACATCTTGGGGTGTTTTCTGGGTCTTCGAGACGTCATTTTGTGACGTCAATCGGTCAGTTTTGTGACCAATTTATGACGTCATTCGGACGTCACTTGGCTGCCTGGGAACATACCTTGGAAGAGAAGCAATTTGAAAGAAACGATTGAAAATACCTCGAAAAATTTGAATACGAACCAGTCGATTCTTCACCTTAATTTTCTCATAGAAATATATGTTGAGGTGATAAAAAAAGAATGGCAGTATACAGACTGACTAACATTTCGTGGTAGTGGAGCAACATACTTTGGAAGAGTAGTAATTTGAAAGAAACGATTTAAAATACCTCGAAAAATGTAATTTTCAACCAATCGATTCTTCACCTCAATTTTCCTACTGGGTAATAAGTTGAGGTGTAAATATATGTTTAATTATATTTTCCAATGTTAATTTTGGAAATGTTTTCATAAATGAAGCTTTTTCATCGAAACTTTGAATAATTTTTAGCACTTTATGTCTGTGCTGTTGACCCTTTTGCCTCGGCCATCCAATCCTTGGCACACATTCTTATACTTCAGTTGGTCAGTATAAGCGAGCCAATGACATGACAGTTACAGTAACTGTTTTAGAAATCTGAATAGATACCAATTTAGAATCTAGTCGAAAAAATCTAGTATGTATCAAAATAGGAATAAAAAAATAATGATAAATAAATTTTTCATCTTTCATAACTGCTACTAAGTGTCACAGTGGTAATATAAGGAATCAAAGAAAGTATAACCAATGATCGATCGTTAATATATATGAGCTTATTTATATTTCAAATATCAAAGTTTATACAATATACAAACTAAGTAGTATTTTCCAGATGGAATGATTCAAAAATTGCTATAAAACGATACTTATATCCTGTGTTGATATAACGATATATTTACGATTCCTATTGAAGTTCATACTAGTACATTGGCGTATCACTTCTTCTGTTATTTTTCTCAAAAAAGAAACCCGATCTATTTCGCTGGGTTAAATCAATTCCTCACTATAAAATTTACATGTATCTTACAATCATATACAGGGTGTTCCGTAAAGACCACGTCAAACTTAGAAAGAATGTAGATCAAAGGATAACCCACCTGCTATGGCAAAATTCCTATTATAAAAGGCTTACCGTTTTCGAGATAATTTTTTTTTGAGAATATTGAATTTTTGCCCCTTTCAATAGCTTTGTCTGTACGGTTGGTACAATTTTACACCTTTTTGGTTCATTCTCTCAGTAAATATTGCTTAAGAATGATTTTAACGTATACAGGGTGGGCCACCAGTAACGCCTCGGTCTCTAGAAGGCTAACCACTTATCTTCTTGGAATTTTTCCTCTCTATTAAGTTGCATGTCAACATAGGTTACCATTTAAAATTATTTCGAAACATACAGGGTGTCCCCAAAAACCATAAAACACTGAAGTTAAACTTTTTTCTAATGAACACCCTATATATTATTTCATTTTGAGATTCTCCCTGATGAGCTGATTTCAACGACCCATCATACTTGGGGCCTAGCAGTTATAATTACTGAAATATAGGGTGTGAAAAATCGAGATTTTCCAAGTTCAAGAATTTTTTGTGTCGAAACTATTCATAATTGGTCAAAACGGCTCACATGTCCCTATCTCAACTTTTGATTAACTATCTACTGATATTTAATTGGGACACATACCGGGTGATCAAGATTCTGAATTCTGCACCACCCTGTATTTGTTTCAATTAAATGTCAGTAGATAGTTGATCAAAAGTTGAGATAGGGACATGTGAGCCGTTTTGACCAATTATGAATGGTTTAGACACAAAAAATTCTTGAACTTGGAAAATCTCGATTTCTCACACCCTATATCTCAGTAATTATAACTGCTAGACCCCAAGTATCATGGATTTTTTAAATCAGCTCACCAGGGAGAATCTCAAGATGAATTAATATATAGGGTGTTCGATTGAAAAAAGTTCAACTTCAGTGTTTTGTGATTTTTGGGGACATCCTGTATGTTTCAAAATAATTTCAAATGGTAGCCTATGTTGACATGCAACTTCCTAGAGAGGAAAAATTCCAAGAAGATAAGTGGTTAGCCTTCTAGAGACCGAGGCGTTACTGGTGGCCCACCCTGTATACATGTACATTATCCGAACATTTTGAAGGATGGCTGTGAGAAATATCTTCATTGGAAACTTTATTGGTAGTGGATATTTCCAAAAAAAAATCTCGAAAATATCAAGACTTTTATAATGGGAATTTCGTCATATGCATCAGGTGAGTTGTCCTTCGATCTACATTCTCCCTATAGGTTTGACGTGATCTTTACGGGACACCCTGTATGTCAATTTGGCTAAACAGGTTTCTAAAAGATCTTCAAATTGACTAATCAAGCATTCACTTTCTTAGATATGTTTCGTGATAATCCTTTTGTGTACGGCACTGCCTCATTTGCCGCGTTATTTTATACTCCTCCGCTCCAAATTAGCATTTTAGCATTGAATGCTTGAAGTATCGCGTCATTCAAATAAATAAAACTATACAATTCGATCATTTCGCAATATATATTCGGCAGAAACCGCGTCAATAATTGAGACGTTTGAGATTAGGTTTCGAAAACAAAATACACGATACGAATCAATATCGAATAGTTTCTAATGATCATTAACATTGATAATTTCAAATAGGTCTGGTGACTGGATCACAATTGGTCATTTGGAAAAAAACACTCGCCATCAGTATTCATGTGCATGATCCAGGAAAATATTTGTTTTTTTTTTCTCGATAGGTATATCCTGGCTGACATTTGAACGAACTGATTAGTTGTATAGATAACTGAAATACCTTCAAAATGAGATATCACTCGAACCCTTTTGGTTTGTAAATGTAATAGTTGAGATCGCCAAAAATAATCATCAACTTAAAACTAACTGCACAGCTGAATAGATAATTGAAAAACCTTTGAAATGAGGAGTCACTCGAACCCTTTTGGTTTATAAATGTAATAGTTGAGAGCGCCAAAAATAAATCATCACCTTGAAACTAGCTGCACCGTTGAATAGATAATTGAAAAACCTTTGAAATGAGAAGTCACTCGAACTCTTCCGGTTTATAAATGTAATAGTTGAGATCGTAAAAAACTTAAAACTAGCTGCACAGTTGAATAGATAATTGAAAAATCTCTGAAATGAAGATTCACTCGAACCCTTTTGGTTCATAAATTCAATATAGTTGAGAGCGCCAAAAAAATCATCAACTTGAAACTAGCTGCACAGCTGAATAGATAAGTGAAAAACCTTTGAAATGAGAAGTCACTCGTACCCTTTTGGTTTGTAAATGTAATAGTTGAGAGCGCCAAAAAATTATCAACTTGAAACTAGCTACACCGTTGAATAGATAATTGAAAAACCTTCGAAATGAGGTGACACTCGAACCCATTTGAAATAAAAATGATAAAGTTGAGAGCGCAAAAAATTCATCAACTTGAAACTAGCTGCACCGTTGAATAGATAATTGAAAAACCTTTGAAATGAGGAGTCACTCGTACCCTTTTGGTTTTTAAATGTAATAGTTGAGAGCGCCAAAAAATTATCAACTTGAAACTAGCTGCACCGTTGAATAGATAATTTAAAAACCTATGAAATAAGGGGTCACTCGAACCCATTTGAAATAGAAATGAAAAAGTTGAGAGCGAATTGAAAATCATCATCTTGAAACTAACTGCACCGTTGTATAGATATCTGAAATACCTTTGAAATGAGGTGTCACTCGAAATCCTTTGAACTCAAAATAAAAAAGTTGAAAGTGGCCCATGTATTATTGTGCGAGTATTCACCCGAAGAATAAAATGGTGTAGGTTAGAATACATACCCGATCATACAAAGTATCCCACTGGAAATGTATGCTATCAACCCTGGGGTAGATTTGGTGGAGGTGTCAATTTCAGCTCGGCAATGTGGACATATCATATGTGTCGGGTTGGGTCCCACCGGTACTACTGTCGTGACTATTTCTGGTCCTTTCGTGACTGAAAATCAAAAAGTTAGTCTAGATTTACATCGAGAAAGTTTTTACTTGATTTTTTCAATCCAAAATTCGATGAAACTTCACCGACATTATGAAGAAGATTTGGCAAAAACATCTTTTGGTCATAAGTTTTCAACAGCTCCTTAGATTCGTCTGATTTTTCCATGGAATATTCTCCTACTAAACCCTAATCGACTGACTCATTCTGAATCGGAAAAATTCAGCACCGTTTTTGGAAAATTTCGATAGTTTATAGTTCTTATCAAAAAGTTCTTAAACTGTGACAGGAAATTTTCAAAGCACACAAACAAGCATCCAAAATAAAATATTCAAAATTGTCCTCGCACTTCCACAAATTTTTTTCAAAAACTAAATTATAAGCAGAAACGAAAGTTTTACAACAAACATAAATTTCACAAATAAAAGTAAGACTCACATTTTCAATGCTTTAACCCAATGGAAATTAACATGTTCTTACCTCGGTTCTTACATTTCCAGGCCTGAATTTCGTCATTTCATTTTTTGTGGAGGGTTATAATCACCCTGTAGATCTTTTTTGAAATCAATCTGTTTAGAATGGTCATCGATTCAAATGATTCAAGATAGTCGAACAGAAAATGAAGGTTTATCACAATTAATTTTCAAAAGCTATACTGACAAAGGCAGATAATAATGCTAGTACGGAAAATTAGTGCCAAATTAACTGAATAAAACAAAACGAATAGATAAAACCGAGGGGTAAATCACGGGCTGAAATTGGGTACACTAGACTTCCTTTATTGAAAGAATTCCCGGAATTCCTGGGACTACCCAAGGAATTCCTAGGAATTCCCAAAGACTACCCGGAATTCCTGGGACTACCTAAAGACTACCCGGAATTCCTGGGACTTCCCAAGGAATTCCTAGGAATTCCCAAAGACTACCCGGAATTCCTGGGACTACCTAAAGACTACCCGGAATTTCCAAAGACTACCTGGAATTCCTGGGACTACCTGAGGAATTCCCAGAGACTACCCGGACTTCCCAAGGAATTCCGGGATTTCCTAAAGATTTATCATACCTCCCGAAGAGTTTTCAAATTTTTGCGTAAAAATATGTAGATAACGAATGAGTTCCATTCGTGAAATGCAAAAAAGCCAATCGATAGGTAGGTTGAATTCAAACCCAATAAGGACGAAACTTGGGCAATGAAAAAACATGTATGGATTAGTGATCAGTACTCGGATAAGTATCATTAACACTACTGGGTGTTTCTGAATTCAAGTGACAGAAGCCTATACAGGTTTCTTCCTATTTAAATAAAAAGTTAGTAGATATACCATTTACAGATTTCCCAAAAAAGTTCCTGTTCACATTGAAAAAAAATCTGGTTATTCATCTCAATGTTATGAACGAAATTATTTTGCCGATTTGAATAATAATTATTTCAACAGCTCATTGAAGTCTTCTTGAGATATCGTTCGGACCTCTTTAATTTGCCCAGTTATTCCAGAATTGTGTTTACGACAAGTGTTTCACTTTTGTTCACGAAGAATACCATTAGTCGATTTTCCCAATTCATTTCAGATGAAACAGTTGAGAATACAGTGAAACCAAGATAAGGTAATATAGGGATCTCGGGAACAGGAAAAGAAACGGATTCGGTTAAATGGGAAACAAGTTGCGCATTTTGATGTGCAACGGCTTTGGAAAATTTTCAAAATTGTTTTTAGTTTTTCAGTTATACTGACGTCAAAATAAGAAGAAAAGTTCGTATAAATATATGTCCGAAAGTTATTCGTTTCTGATTTTTGTTTTTTGTTAATGAATTCCAAAATAATTGTGATAATCGAATGAAGTTTGGTATCTAGGGGTATTTTTCAATGACAATTTCAGATTTTCTGTTAGTTTGTCTCTTTCGTGGGGGTGGCGCCACCTACATGTCTTTTGAATTTTTGAAGTCAAAACTTTTCTGTTCGTACCTGTATCACGTTTCATAGTAGGAAATAGATTCCTAGGACACTTTTGTGTAAAAAGTATATTCTTGGTAGAGGTCGATGCGAGCAACGGGGTTCGAGTTATTTGGGATTTGAAACAATCGATGCATTTGAATTATTTCCATTGGGCTCGTGAGTCGACTCTAAGCAGTTAGAAAAGATACGCCAGTGCATTTTTCTTCTTTCATTCAATATTCTCTTCCATTCTACAATTCAACATTGGAATGTAGCCAAATGATGATTCTTTGTATCTACTTTTTTGGCCATTTTGAATCAATTCCCTCAACTAACTGTTTTAGTATTAATTTGGTCATAATTACAGTTATTATTATTATTAGTATTGTATTATAATTACACCCGATTCCTATTTTAAAATGGAATTAAAAAAAATAATTCTCCTTACCTACTTGATGTACTTGATAAATCAATTTTGAATTCCTACTTCTTCGTCATTCCAAATTACTTGCATTGATTATTTCAAATCCCAATAACTCGAAAACAGTTGCTCGCAGCGACCTTTACCAAGAATATATTTTTTACACAAACGTGTCCTAGAAAACTATTTTTCTACTATAGAACGTGATACAGGTACGCACAAAAAAATTGTGACTTTTCAAAAGACATGTAGGTGCCACCACACTCACGAAAGAGATAAACTAACATAAAATTTGATATTGTCATCGAAAAATACCCCGAAATACCAAAATTCATTGGAATATCACAATTATTTTGAAATTTATTAACAAAAAACAAAAATAAGAATTCAACTTTGACACTCTGTATCTCAGAAACGAATAACTTTCGGACATATATTTATACGAACTTTTCTTCTTATTTTGACGTCAGCAACATGCTCCTGGATTTTCTACTCGTACTTAAGAAACACCCAGTATAAAGAAAGTGAATTTTTGGAATATCTATTTGTTTTTCTACGTTATTATTAGAGATATACAAAACTCCAAAAATACTTCTACATGGCATCTTTTGATGAGATTTAACGTGGTGATATTGATTTCTCCACGCGACGTTTCGTATTCGTAGAGAAATCAACAACTTTTTTTTCAAATACGGCCCTGATTATCTGTTCACAGATTTCGAAAGCTTTTTTTATTCTGAGTTCAACTAACAATTTTGTAAATTTTCGAAATCCATTGGTATGACTCTTGGAATGCGCAATTTTTTTCTCATTTAACCGAATTCGTATCTCTTACCGTTTCCGAGATCCCTCGCGAGACCCTCATGCTGCGCAACCTTATCATGGTCACACTGTTCAACTTTTTTGTTAAGTACCAATATCTATCGAGAAAAAATAGTTGAGAGATTGAAAGTGGCAAAGATTTGTTATATTCAAAATGAAAGTAAGAGGAAAGATTCGAGAGATCAGACGACTAAGTTTATGTAAAAAAACAATAAGAAGAGTTGAAATAATTTACTAGGTATTTGAAATGAACATTCTCAGATATATATGAACACAAAAAAATGGATATATACAGTGTGTCCCACTTACCATGCTCACCATGGGTATCTTTTAAACGGTGAGAGATACGAGGTCGGTTAAATGTAACCAAATGTGGAGTTTGTCAAGGCCAACTATAATGTGAAAAAATATTTTGATAAAATCTATTCGTTTTTGTTTTATACGCAAAAAACAGATTTTGATCATTTCCATGTTTCCTCCGTAACTTCTTTATTTATGAAAATATTCAAATAGGAATTTCACATTCTCGTGGCAGTTTTTCAAAGTGATTTCGAAAAAAATATGAAATTTATACCAACCCTTCTAGAATTTGGGATATCAGCACCAACTTCAGTTTTTCAAATGTGGGTCATAGCTCACTATGACTTATTTAAAAATACCTTTTTTTTATTTTACAGATGATATGTCGCAATAATAGTTTTGTATGGATAACAACGTAGTTATCGTCATTTATACAAAAACAAAAAATTATTTGGCAGCCGCCATCTTGACTTTATATATTTTAACAAAAAAATCATGATCTCCGACCTCAAAAACCCCCACTTACCAATTTTGAATGGAATCGGACCAAATCTTGTCCGCCATCTTGGAGCAGCCATATTTTTATTTCAACAAAAATTTCATAAAGTATTGTCATCGAAATTATAAACACCTGCCAAATTTCAAGTTGATCGGAGTTATGGAATTTTTGTTGAAATTTAAAAAAATGGCTGCTCCAAGATGGCGGACAAGATTTGGTCCGATTTCATTCAAAAGTGGGGGTTTTTGAGGTCGGATATCATGATTTTTTTGTTGAAATTTATAAATTCAAGATGGCGGCTTCCAAATAATTTTTTGATAATGTATAAATAATGACGATATCTCCGTTGTTATCAACACAAAACTATTACTGATACATATCATCTATAAGAGAAAAAAAAGTTATTTGTAACTAAGTCATAGTGAGCTATGACCTACATTTGAAAAACTAAAGTTGGTGCTGATATCTCAAATTCTAGAAGAGTTGGTATAAATTTCATAATTTTTTCGAAATCACTTTGAAAAACTGCCATGAGAATAAGAAATTCCTATTTGAATATTTTCATAAATAAAGAAGTTACGGAGGAGACATGAAAATGATCAAAATCTGTTTTTTGCATATAAAACAAAAACGAATAGATTTTATCAAAATATTTTTTACATTATAGTTGGCCTTGACAAACTCCACATTTGGTGTCATTTAACCGACCTCGTATCTCTCACCGTTAAAAAGATACCCATGGTGAGCATGGTAAGTGGGACACACAGTATATAAAGAAATACATTGAGAATTCGCATTCTCCATGTGATGAAAATATCAATTTAGAATTTCTTTCCACGTCCTGTATGATGAATGTCAATTCATCATACATTCAAAAAATTTCTAGGTATTATTTCTCGTGCACAAAACGTTAACCTTCTGTATCTAGGAATCTGCAATAAGATGTCAATCAATGAAAATGATCGATCTATCATTGTACAAAAATATAAGGATATGAAGGTTGAAATAAAGTAAATGATGATATTTCT